GAGAGCAGCCACAGAATAGCAAAATATTTTCCACAAATGAAAGAAAAAACAGTATACAAAAATGGCAATTTAGTGATAATTGGTAATATCAACTCTCAATAATATCCCATTCTTAGGTCCAAATTACGATTTGACAAGTTTAAAGCCTTGTCTTTTTCCAGCACAGTAAGAAGGAGCCAACTCATTTTTAATCTTTTCAAGCATCTGAAACAAGTTTTGCAGATCCACAAAAGGTTCTGACCACATAACCAATTTGCCAAATGCACTAATGGATATGTAACACGAGGAACCACTTTCTTCTCTCTTGCTCTTGTCCTCTCTGACTTTCCACCGTAAGATAATGCATCAAGAAGGCTTTTACCAGATGCTGGGCCACTGATCTTGGACTTCCCAACCTCTAGAATTGTGAGTCTATAAATGTCTGTTCATTAAAAATTACCCAGTCTGTGATAGTCTGTTATAGTATCACAAATCAAGCTAGAATAGAAATCAGAAAACATCTTAAGCAGAATGAAAACCAGAACATCTATCACAATGTATCCAATGCATCTAAAACAGAACTTAGAAGAAATTGGATAGCATTAAGACTTTTATTAGAGAAGAATATCTTAAAAATCAATATTGTAAGCTTCCACCTAAGAACTTAGGGGGGAAAAAAGAATAAATTAAACACAAAATAAGTACAGAAGTAAGAAAGATAAAAGCAATAATAAATGCAATGTAAAACAATAGAGGAAAAATCAGTGAAATAGAAATTTAGTACAAAAAGATCAATTGATAAATATCTAGCCAAAATTTCCAAAAATATACAAAGAATGAAGGTCAGATATGAAAGAGGGTACCTTGACTTATTTCTTTTTAAATAAAGTTATAAGGATTTATTAATATTTTAGATACTTTATTAGATATTTGTTTTGCAAATATTTTCTTTCTTGATGGCTTGCCTTTTCATTTATTGTTTTCATAACAAAGGCTTACTTAACAAAATACTTCTTTATACTTTTTGTGCCCTTAGGCATTTTTGCCAGTTCTAGGGTTACAATAATTTTTCTCTTTTTTTTTTCTATAGAGGTTTTATAATTTTAACTCTAATAGTGAGGTGTATGATCCATTTTAAGCTGATTTTAAAAAGTATGAAGAAATGATTTTTCTTTGGTCCATCATATTAATATCCAGTACCTTTGGCACTATTTGTTGAAAAGTACCTTGTCACCTGTATTAGTTTGCTAGGGCTGCCATAACAAATCATAGTAATGCATTGCTCAACAACAGGGATATACTATAAACAAGGTGTCATTAGGTGATTTTTTTTCATTGTGCAAACATCATAGAATGTATTTACCCAAATCTAGACAGTAAATTTCTCTAGTGTAATGTTTTTTATTTTCATTGTTTTGCTGTTCTGGGGATTGAACCCAGGGCTTGCACATGCTAGGCAAGTGTTCTACCACTGAGCTACATTCCTAGAACCTTTTTAAATTTTGTTTTGAAACAGGGTCTCAAAATATTCCACTTCGTTATTCCTTAGGGAAATGCAAACTAATACTCATAAAGTAGTAGTATACGTTCATGAGAATGATAAAAATTAAAAACTGATAATACTAAGTGTTGACATGCATGTGGAACACCTGGAACACTCATACAGTGTTCATGGAAATGCAAAATCATTCAGTTATTTTGGAAAATAAGGTGTTTCCAAATTTAAGCATATACTTAATCATACAACCTTAGGAGAAAAAAAATATTTCTTCACATATAACTGTATGCAAATGTCCATGGCAGCTTTATATATAATGATTACAAATTGGAAACAACTCAAATTTCCACCAACTTGTGAATGAATAAGATCATGATGTATTTATAAAGTAGAATACAATTCAGCAATAAAAAGGAAACACTGATTACCTGCAACAACATGGATGAATCTCAAAAGCAACATACTAAATGAAAGAAATCAAATACATGAGACTGTATACTATACAACTCCACTTCTATGGAAATTATATATATATATATATAATTATATATACACATTATATATATTTAATTTATATATATATTTACAGAAAGTAAATTAGCAGTGGCCAGTGGCCTCTGGTGGGAGGAGGGACCTGGCTGCAGAGTAACACAAGGGGACTTCTTGGAGTGATTAAAATAAAACAAAAATATCTTGATTGTAGTGGTGGTCACATGGCCTACTACATATGTTAAAATTCATCAAATGGTATACTTAAAATGGATGACTCAGTTAATATTAACTAATTAGTTTCAAAAGACTTTAAGAATTGTACTATAAGGAAACCTGTCAACTTCTCCTATCCCAAAGTGAGTTTTTGTTGAGCACCTACTAAGACATTGTAGAATTTTTGTTTCATGTGTCTATTGGAAACAATCTGCAAAGGATCATGTTTTAGAGGCTTGGTCCCCAGCCTATGGAGCTCTTGGAAGGGGTGGAACTTTCAGAAGTTGGGCCTAGTGAAAGGAAGTTGGGACATACAGGGTGTGTGCTTAAGGGGATATTGGAACTCCAGCACTTTCCTCTTCCTGTTTGCTTCTTGACTGCCATGAAGTGAACAGGCCTCCCCTGCCATGTACTTCTGCCATGAGCCTGAAGGACCCCAAGGCCCCAGGCCCAACATTAGGAAAACTAACCCCTGTGCCCTGAAGCTGCAAGATGTTCCCTTACCCAACCCCCATGTCAAAACCCCACCAGCTGCACGTAGCACTTCAAGTCTCGCACAATGTTACCACAAGATGTTCCATATAGATAACCCCGGAAGGGCCAAACTTGAGCAAACAGGGTAAAAACAGGAACTAAAAGGACAGGATGCAATTTTATGGTTTTTCTGAGAACTAAAGTGGGAAAACAAGTTTACCCCCCTAGGTGACTCAACTGCTGAATTCAGAGGGACCAATAGGAAGGCTGTTGCTGTGCTAAGCTAAGACCTAACCCACCTGTTCCCTATAAAAGATCTATACCCCAAAGCCCGGTGTGCCAGTTCACCGAAGCTCCGGCTGAGGTTTTGCTGTGCACCCGCAGGCGCCTGTGTGAGAATAAACGCCTCCTGCTTTTTGCAGCCAGTGTCTCGTGTGGTTCATTCCGGGTTTGGGATCTGTGGATATTTCAAGCCCAGAGTAATTATGCCAACTGACCAAGGTCTGAAACTGTGAGCAAAACAAACCTTTCCTTCTTATAAGTTGATTATCTCAGGTATTTTGTTGCATTGGTAGAAAACTGACTAACACAATGAAATGTAGTGTAGGAAAATATTTCCTATATTTTATTATCAATGGTGGATGGGAAGAAATTAGAAATGTAGTGCTGATAAAGAAAGACAGCAAAACCAGTTACTAGGTTTAGTAATCACTCTGAGGTTTGGCTAAAGTAGACAGCCATTATAAATATATATTTTTCTGGTAAAAGCATGGTCACAGCATTCTGGTTAACTATAGATCACATTCTACATTTCAGGTCTGAAGCTCCACTGACTTTTCTATTTCTTTCTTATGAAAAACAAATATTATAAGAAAACTGGTTATTGTCTATTGTCTTTATGAAAATCACAACAAGTTGATATGTACATATTTCTCAGAAATAAAAGTTACATGAATTTTTTTCTAGTAAAATTTTAACAAATGTAGCAGATTATTCTTACTTCCTGTTTTATTTTTGATATTAGATGACAGGGAGAAATGTACTCTTTAAAAGAGCTTCAAATAAGAGAACTGTTGCTGGCAATGGCTATACCCCAGATAACAAAAGGAGCCAGACCACATGCCCTCTTATAAGCAATTATGACACAGATATCTATCTTCCACTTAAATTTTTTTTTAAAGGTATGTACAGGGGCTGGGGATGTGGCTCAAGCGGTAGCGGGCTCGCCTGGCATGCGTGCGGCGCTGGGTTCGATCCTCAGCACCACATACAAATAAAGATGTTATGTCCGCCGAAAACTAAAAAAATGAATATTAAAAAAAGTATGTATATTAATCAGCTTTCTGCGCTATAACAAACACCCAAGATAATCAACTCATGAGAAGAAAAGGTTTATTTTGGCTTATAATTTTAGAAGTTTCAGTCCATTGATCAGTTGGGCCCATTACTTTTGGATCTGACTAACATCATGGCAGGGAGTATATGGCAGAACAAAGCCTCTTCACCTCACAGCCAGAATGCAAAAAAAGAGAAAGAGATTAGGCTCCCAGAATTCCTCTAGAGGGTACCCCTCAATGATCTGAAACCTCCCATTAAGCCTCATCTTGTTTTTTACTTTTCATTTTTTTGCAGCGTTGGAGGAATGAACTCAGGGCCTCACATATGCTAGGCAAGTGCTCTACCACTGAGCTGCATGCCCAGCTCTAGGCTCCACCTCTTCAAGGTTCTACACCTCTCAATAGCACCAAGCCTCTAACACATGTGCCTTTGGGGAACTTACAAGATCCAAAAGATGTAATGTGTGTGTGTTTGTGTGTATGTGGGTATTCATGCATGCGTGTGCACCGGAGAAATGCTTCAGAACCACTGGGTCTGGTGAAAAGAGAGTTCACCCATAAAAGGCTAAAATTAGTGTGGGTTAACTTTGTGATGTTATTATTTGGGTTACACAATAAAGAAGTAGAAAATGCTCTGACTGGTCTGGGTCCCTCAAAATTTTTTGTCTAATTGCCCAATTTTAAAGACATAGCCTATCTTTTGTAAAGACTATAAAATAGACAAATTAATTACTGGTGGGTACGAGCTAGTTCAAGATATACCAGTTGTAGCTCATGGATGTGAATGTGCAGTGTCTTCCAAACCTACAAGCTCTTTTTGGTTTCCAATTTTACTTCTTCTGGCTCTAAGAATCTGAGTTGTGCTTCGGTTGATCATATGCTAATTAAGGTGGAGTTAATTAAAATCAGAATATTTATTAGGCCTTAGGAGCACTGTGAAAAGAAAGAATGTATAAGTAAACATCCTGCAAGCCTGGGCTGACCGACACCTGTGATCCTCTTTCCAGAGAGATGTTTTCCATGATATCGGGAGGGGAATCCTGGACAGTGCATGGCAAGGCTACAATGCTACTCTCTTGGCCTATGGTCAGACTGGCTCTGGAAAAAGCTACTCCATGATTGGATTTGGTGCAAACAAGGGTATTATTCCAAGTGTGTGTGAAGAACTCTTTCAAGCAATTGAGAATCAGGGGAGAAATCAAGAATACCAGGTATGCATTATGCTACAATACCTTCTTCAAATAATGGCTTTTTAAAAAAATTTTGAACACCTTCTCCAAATGAAAGTTATTAGCATTTCTATTTTAAGATAGTGCATTTTGTGTGTGTGTGTGTGTGTGTGTGCTGGGGTAGTTCTACAGCTAAGCTACATACCCATCCCCAAGGACATGTATTTAAAAAACACTGGGTATCGTAGAAGCAGACAGAATTGCTAACACTAATAAGGGGTTACTCTTGAGGTTGAATCAACCTTAGCTGATTCAAGTCTATAGTTTCCTTTGCTCTTCTCTTCCACCACAGTAGTGGCTGTGTTCTCATCTTATTTGCTTTTATTATTTATTTTGATGCTAGGATGGAACCCAAGGTCTCCTTCATGTAAAGCACTTGCTCTACCACTAAGTTACATCTCTAGCCCCGAAGATGTGACTTTGTTGTTTATTTGTCTCACATAATTTCTTACTTTACCTGGCATAGAAGACCCAAGACTAAATTTCAGATTCACTGAAGCTTGGTGACATTTTCAAGGTGCAGTATAACTAGTACCATGATCAAATTTAAAACATGATAGCAAAACATCAACAAATACCTGTATTCATAGTCTGTGTTTCTGCTTTGTCTAAATGGCAGAAGAAATTAAATTGGTGTTACAAAAATTCAATATTGCATCCTTTTTTATCTTAATTACTCTTCTGACTTTAAAGGTAATATGTTCAAGATAGAAAATAGAAATTACTCATAATCTCTTCAACCCAACTAAATAGCATTAACATTTCAGTATCTCCAATTTTTTTAATTAAAAGTATTTGAAAGTAATGCAAGTATATTTTAAGAACTCAAATACTCAAGAGAAAGGAAAGTATATGTCCATATAATATTTTTTTTTGTCCCAGGATTAAACTTGGGGTTGCTTTACCACTGAGACACATCCCCAGCAAACCTCTGCCTTTTAAAATTTTTTATTTTGAGACAGGATCTTGCTAAGTTACTCATGGCCTCACTAAGTTGCTGAGGCTGGCTTTGTACTTGTGATCCTCCTTCCTCAGCCTTCCAAGCAGTTGGGATTATAGGTATGTGCCACCACACCCAGCTCCAAATAAAATTTTGAACTTAAATATTCCATAGCACTATATTCACAATTGCCCCAAAGTAGAAATAACCCAAGTGTTCATCAAATGATGAATGGATGAATAAAATGTATCTCCACACAATGCAATATTATCCAGCTTTAAAAAAAAGGGCATTCTAATGCTTATTACAATATGGACAACTCTTGAAAACATTATGATAAGGGAAAGAAAACACAAAGGTCAAATAGTATTTGATTATATTTTTATGAAATAGCCAGAAACAGAAAGTCTCTGCAGGCAGAAAGAAGACTAGTAGTTTCTAGGGATGGGTGGGGGAGGGGAGACAGCAGAAAATGGGAAGTGGTGGTGAGGGACTTCATGTAGATGTGGGGAAGAGGGCAAAATATAGGTTGTGGTGATGCTTGCATAACTGTGTGAATAGTCATTCCTGGATTGGTTCCTACACCACCCACCACAAAACTCCCTTGGATACCAAAATCCCTGAATGCTCAAGTAACTTACATAAAATGGCAGAGTATTCTCATATAACCTTTGTGCATCATCCCATATACTTTAAATCATCTCTAAATTACTTATAATGCCTAATACAATATCAATATCATTATATCATATTATTTCAGAAATTAAGGGGGAAAAGTCTGTACATGTTCAGTACAGATTGATTTTTAAAAACTATTTTCAACCTAATATAGAATCTGAGTTTGGCATGCCAATTGTATCCTAAAAACCACTGGATTGAGGGGGCTGTGGCTGTGGCTCTGTGGTAGCACACTTGCCTGGCATGTGTAAGGCACTGAGTTCAATTCTCAGTACTGCATGTAAATAAATAAAATAAATGTTTATCAATGACTAAAAAAATTTTTAAAATGACTATTTCTATTAAAAAAAACATTGAACACTTTGCTTATTTATTATTATTTTTTGTTGGGGGTGCTGGGGTTTGAACCCAGGACACTGAGCTGCTTCCCTAGCATCCCATCCATCTTTTTTTTTTTTTTTTTTTTTGAGACAGGGTCTTGTGAAACTTCTGAGGCTAACCTTGAATCCTTCTGCCTCAGCTTCCTGAATTCCTGGAATTATAGGTGTGCGCCATTGCACCCAGTGGATTATATGCTTTATTTCTAGTAGAGCTTTATATAGTGTCGCAGTCTGGGCACAAAATAACCGAGCCGCCACAAAGCCTTGTAGGTTCAAACAACAACTCTTTATTCCTGAACTCTCACTGGCACTCTACACACACTTCCCAGGAACACACTCCCTCCACCGGGCTCCACGCACCAATTCTCCCCGAACCCCCACAAGAACTCAACGGGAACTCCAAAGTAGCTGCGCCTGAGGCAGCAGGATCCGCCCTAATCTCAGAGCCGCCCTATTCCCAGAACAGGGTCACCTTTCAACCATTCCCTCTGGCAAACTGTGGCTCTCAACAACATAGTAATTGGGTTCATAGAAATATACATGCATGGAATTCATATTCATTTCATGATCCCTTTCTCTTTCCTCTACTTGACTTCCTTTTGCTCATCTATTTGTTTATATTTGATTGGTTCTTTTTACTTATACATAAAGGTGAACTTCTCCGTGGTATATTTATATGCACATAACATAATTTTAAAAGAATTCATTCTGCATTGCCTCCTCTTTTCCATCCTTCCACTCCACCTCTCACTCCTTCTTCTATGATCTTCTCTGTATCTTTATGATATCCCATCCTTCCCTCCTCCTTTGTTTTATTTTATTCTAGCGTCCACATATGAGAGAAAACACTTGACCTTTAAGTTTCTAAATCTAACTTATTTCACTTAACATGATTTTCTCCATTTCCATCCAGCAAATAATTTCATTCTTCTTTATGGCTGAGTAGAACTCCACAATTTCTTAATCCACTTATCTATTGACAGGCATCTGGATTGATTCCATAATTTAGCTACTGTGAATTGTACTGTTATAAGTATTGAGGTGGCTATATCGCTAGAGCATGTTGATTTTAGTTCTTTTGGGAAAATACCAAGGGATAGCTGGGTCCTATGGTGGTTCCAACCCTAGTTTTTTGAGGAATAACCATACTTTCTACAGTCCTACCAACAATGTACAGTGTACCCTTTTCTCCACATCCTCACCAGCATTTATTATTATTTGTATTCTTGATCACTGCCATTTTGACTGGAGTAAGATGAAATCTTGTGTAGTTTTGATTTGCATTTCCCTGATTGCTACAGATGTTAAATATTTTTTCATATATTTGTTGGTCTTTTGTGTTTTTTTTTTCTTTTGAAAAGTTTTTATTTAGTTCTTCTGCCCATTTATTAAGTTTTTTTTTTTTTTGGTGTTAAGTTATTTGAGTTCTTTATATAGTCTGGATATTAATCCCCTATGAGAGGAGTAGCTGGCAAAGATTCTCTTCCATTCTGTAGGCTCTCTTTATATTCTCAATTGTTTCCTTTGCTGTGCAGAAGCTTTTTAATTCATCCCGCTTTGATTCTCGGTTTTATTTCTTGTGCTTGGGGTGGGGGATTTGTTAAGGAAGACAGTGCCAACAGCAACATGATGGAGTGTTGACCCTATGTTTTCTTCTAGCAGTTGCAAGGTTTCTGGTTTAATTCCTAAGTCTTTGATCCATTTCAATTTGACTTTTGTGCAGGTTGAGAGATTGGGATCTAATTTCATTTTTCTACATATAGCTATCCAGTTTTTCCAGCACCATTTGTTAAAAAGGCTGTATTTTCTCCAAAATATATTTTTGGCACCTTTGTCAAGTATTGAATAGCTGTAACTGTGTAGATTTGTCTGTGTCTTCTATTCTGCTCCATTGGTCTTTTTGTGTTTATTTTGATAGCCAATGCCATGATCTTTTTTGTTACTACAGCTCTGTAGTATAATTTGAGATCAAGTATTGTGATGTCTCCTATATCACTTTTCTTAATATTGCTTTGGCTGTTCTGGGTCTCTTATTCTTCAAATGAATTTTTAAGGATTAACTTTTTCTAATTCTGTGAAGAAGGATTATATACTTTAGATGGGTAAATTGTACAGAATGAATTATAGTTCAATAGAATAGTGTTTAAACTTCCAAACAGTACTGAACAACTTATCATGGAAACCACCATCCTCCTCCATTCTCCTCCTCACTTCTCTATTACTTCCCCAGTTCCCATCTCCAATTCTTTATCTGTGTGCCCTACTATCACCATATTTAAAAATAATGTTGGTTTTTCTTTTCTTAGGAATCAATTTGTGACAATATCTGCTATTTTCCTACTATAGTAGTACAGAATTTAACTTTGCCACACCAATGGCTCCCATCATGATCTTTTTTCTCTCACGTTTTTATAGAGTCAAATAACAACATATGGTTAAATCCATAGTAATTGACATTTTAGCTATGCAAATATTGTCTACTGCATATATCTTTTCTATACTTCATTTTTCTTGGAGTTTTTAAATGTCTTTACCTTTCTTAAAATTGTTTCTGGTTTTCTATAAATCTTTGTCTCAGTGTTCCAAATTAGTGTCATGGGCCTATTAACAATATTTGCCATCTACCCAATTTATTGGTTCCCTTATTTTTATTAGATCTCCTTCATCAGAAGGTTTCTATTCTCCTGCTAAGATTGGAACAGTATTTCCCCAGCTGCTGCAAACCTGCCATTCTGGAACTTCAACATTCTTCTTTGCTGGCTCCCCTGCCTCCTATATGGTTTACTTTATCCTTTTCCTCAGAAGAGGTGGGCCAGGAATATATTCTTTGCAGCCTTGGCATAGCTGAAAGTATCTTTTCTGACCTCCATGCTTGGTTCAAGTTTACCCAGAATAGCATTGTAGCTAAGGATACTGAAAATATATTTCCATTGTCTTTTAAGTTTCAATGTTGTGGCTTAGAAGTCCGCTGCCACTCTGATTCTACTCTTTCTAGATGATCTTTTTGGTGGTCATCATTGTTTCCTCTGATAGCTTTGAGGATCTTCTCTTTATTCTTGATGTTTTCAAGTGTCTTTTCTTATTCTTCATGCTGGACACTCATGGGACCCTTTTCAATGTGGAGATTCCTGTGCTTCAGGAAACCTTTCTAATTTTGTCTCTTTTAATTTCCTCCACCATTTCTTCTGTTTCTGGAAGTTTTACTTGGGCGGATTTTAATCTCATGCATTCTAATTCCAATATCTTTTACCACCTATTTCCCTCTTGTTGGCCTTTTATTCTTCATTCTGGAAGACCTCCCCCACCGTCTCTTTGGGGAGGTGGGCAATGCTGGGGGAATGAACTTAGGACCTAGCATATGGTAGGTAAGTGCTGTACCACTGAGCTACATTCCCAGCCCTTAACTCTATTTTAATTTTGCATCTTATTCATAAATTTAATTTACAAATACTTTTCCTTATTTTCTGATTGTTCCCAGTTAATAGAATACTGTTTTGTTTTTTATGGGTATAATTTTTTTTCTCTGAGACTATTAATTATAGGGATTTTAAAAATGCATTGTCTGTATTCTCTAAATTTCTCTTTTCTATTTGTTTTCACTTCCACATTAGAGATTTCTCTTGTCTGCTAACCCCTGGCTATTTGTTCATTTTTACCCAATCACTCTGAACCTAGTCAAATGTTCTGTGGCCCTGAGACTTCATTGGCAAGACTCATCACTGGGTGACCAAGAGACAAGCCAGCTTTATAATGAGTAGAGCATGGCAAACATTAGACTTTCTCTCTAGACTAGAGCCATTCTGATTCCCCCAATCCTGTTGAAGAGGCTAAAGCTTGGCTAGCAATATTCCAGATCTATGGTAGGGTAGAGAATATGTGTTTCCTCTGTGAAGAACCTATCTATTATATGTGGATATTAATTCACAATGAGGGGTGAGGCTAGGGAAGAATAGAGTTACTTTAGATAGAGGAGAGTGAAGGAAGGGGACAGGGTACCAGGTAGGAAGGATAGTAGAATACATCAGATATTATTGCCCTATGTATATATATATAACTATACGACTCGTAGAATTCTATATCATGTACAACCAGAAGAATGAGAAATTATACTGCATTAGATATGATGTATCAAAGTGCATTATACTGTCATGTATAATTAATTTACAAAATAAAGAAAAAAGAACCTTTCCAATAGCATTAAAATTACTTGATAACCAGTTGCATGTTGAAATAGAGCTTTACTATATTTAATATTACCTTTTCTTTGTTAGACATTTGAGATACTTATGTGTATATATAGGAGATATATATTATATGTAATATAATATATACATATATATGTATGTGTTTGTGTGTGTGTGTGTGAGTATGATTTCCTCCCCACACCCCCCGCCCCCCCAAAGATGATGGTTTCAAGAGAACATTTACTTGTGCTCTTCTCTATACAGGTTACATTCAGTATGCTGGAAATTTACAATGAACAGGTAATAGAGATTATATTTTTCTTTTTAATACTTTTCTCCCCTTGGTTCTGGGGATTGAACCTGGGGCCTTGTGCATGCTGAGCATTTATTCTACCACTAAGCTACATACCAACCCTAGAGATTATATTTTCTCACATACAAACTTTAGTGATTCTTTTTCAGATGAGCCCTTCCCAGCTCTACCCACCTCTCCAGCTTCCTCCTAAGCTTTATTTTCACATGTGCTATTCTTCCAGTCTCACAGAACTATTCTTTTCCAGAGCATATCCTTTTTTCTAGACATTTAGGCTTTCTATGTCTACTTTTTCTGCCCCCAAAGAAACCACTCAACTTCAAGGTCCAGCTTGAATGCCGACTCTTGTCTGTATATTCTGAGTCATTAACGTCAATCCAGGTGATGTTGTGTGGGGTCTTCACACTTTATCTGCAAAGGTCCAGAGAATAAATCCTTCAGGCTTTCAGAATCTTACTGTCTCTTGAAAACTACTCAACTCTGTTGTTGTAGAACAATGAGAGCCAAAGACAACATGGAAATTAGTGGATGCAACTGTGCACCAATGAAACTATTTAGGGACACTGCAATTTGAATTTCACATCATTCTCGTGTGTCATGAAATATTATTTTTCATTCAGTTTTTCCAACAATTTGAAAATGTGAAACACCAAAAACAGCTGGTGGCCTGAGTTTGCCTCATAGACTGTATGCAGCTTGCTCCCTAAGGGAGCAGTATACAGAACATTGTTTCAAATCCCAGCTTTCTCATTTGCTAGCTGGGTTACTTTGGAAGATGACCTTATTTCCAAATTTAGTTTGTTCATTTATAGAGTATATAAGAGATACTAAATTTTAAATTTCTTTTTGGTTGTTGTTTGTCATGCTGGGGCTGGAACCCAGGGTCTTACACATGCAAAGCATGTGCTCTACCACTGAGCCATACATCCAGCATCTAAATATCCAGAAAAAAACTAAATCTTTATCAAGTGTTCATATTTTTTTTATTACTATTGCTTTTTTTTTTTTTTTTTTGGTACCAGGAATTGAACTCGGGCTCTCGACCCCTGAGCCACATCCCCAGCCCTATTTTGTATTTTATTTAGAGTCAGGGTCTCACTGAGTTGCTTAGCACCTCACCATTGCTGAGGCTGGTTTTGAATTCAGATCCTCCTGCCTCAGCCGTCCAAGCTGCTGGGATTACAGGTGTTTGCTACCCTGCCTGGCCTACCTTTTTTTTCTGGACTCATTATGTGCAAATATGTAAACAAATTTTAAAGTATGATTTTCAAATAATAATTTCCCTATGAGCATATTTCTGTCTTATTGCAGGACTTCACTTTTTTATTTTTTTGGTGGTGGTGCTGAGGAGTGGACCCAGGGCCTCGCACATGCTAGGCAAGTGCTTCACCACTGAGCTACCCAACCCCCAGCCCAGCATAATTCTTTGTCTAGAATGGGAGCTCTCAACATGTTTACTGAAAGGATAATTGATAAATATATTTATAATTGTATGTTTCTTATTGGCAGAGACCATATCTTAATAGTTTTTGTATAACCTCCAAAACTACCCAAAGGTCTCCCCTTATTTCCTTTATTACCAAGCTCATAGGGGAAAATGGAGAGAACAGCATCTCCCCATGTTGCTCCCCCTACTGAGACCTATTTATGATGGTAATCTCCCTGGAATTCTGTTTCCTTATCTCTAAAATGAGAAAATTGAACATTCATAGAATATGAGACCCGAGGAGATCCTAGAATGTCCAATTTTCTTATTTTAGAGGTCTTATATTCTATGAGTCTGTGGTATTTTTCCATTAGGTATTTCAGCAGCCAAATAAATAAAGTTTATTAAATATCTTTCATGTTCCACATATCATTCTAGACTCTGAAGACAAAGAAAACCTAAGACATGGTCCTTACCTTGGAGAAGTTGAGTGGAATATTGTATACCCACTTCTTCTAAAAGTAACACATGTGCTGTGTGGGTATGAAAAGAGAGAGGCATAGAAGAGGAGGCAGCTACCCCCCCCCACACACACACACAGTTTGTTGCTGTCCACAGAGGAGTTAGCCTGGGCTTTGAAGGATATTTATGAGTTTGGTGAGGCAGAGAAGTGAGAGGAGGGGAGGGGTACAGACAGAGGCACTTTAGGCTTAGGGATCAGCATTTCAAAATCTATTCATAGGGCCAGGAGTGTAGCTCAGTGGTTGAACACCTGGCTAGCATGCGTGAGGCCCTGGGTTCTATCCCCAGCAACTCAAAAAGGAAAAAAAGAAAAGAAAAAAAAAACATTAATATGTGAAGTGTATGACATTTAAGGGAACATTGAGTGTCCCATATAGACAGAGTGAGCTGCATGGTGGGCAAGAATGGGGGAGGCTTCCTGGGATAAAGCTAAAGAGTTGCCAAACAGTAAAGTGGTTGGTCTAGTAAGTCATTGAGCATCAACAGGGGTTGGTTTTGATCTTTTTTTTTTTTTAATTTTTTTTCAGTTGTAGATGAACACAACACCTTTGTTTAATTTATTATTTTTATGTGGTGCTGAGGATTGAATCCAGTGCCTCACACATGCTAGGCCAATGCTCTACCACTGAGCCACAACCCCAGTCCCTCAACAGAGGTTTTCAATAGGAAAATAAGACAGTTGGATTGGGGTTTAGGCAGAATGTAGCTGGATTTAAAGAAATGCCAAGTAGAGCAGAGAGAGGAGTTAGGAAGCTCTCAGATGGCTGTGAATCATGATGGTCTGTATTCATCTCCAGGCAACCTGGAGGGTCCTGGAGCCAGGAGCCGCCCTGTCTCTGGGTCCCAGTACTTTCCATCCAGATAAGCTTATCCTTTTTGCTAGTTAACTTTAGTGGTTCACATATTAAGCCTGTGCCACTTCCAAGAATTTATATTACTTGATGGAAATGACAGAAAAGGCTTCCTGGCTGAAGCAGAAGCTGTCTCTGCGGTGAGGTTTCCTTATCTCTGACCCCTTCTGTCCACTGTTTTGCTTGCCCACACTTCAGTCTGTGATCCCACCTTGACTTTAGGACTTTGAACTACAGATACCACTGCTGGGGGACAGCTTAGAGAGAATGTCATCTGTCTCCCTCATATTAAGAGGGAAAACTGGGAACATGAGGGACTTTCCAAGGATTTTGCAGTTTGGGACACAGAACCAGGACTGTGAACCCAGGTGCTTCTGATTTCCAGCCCAGTCCTCTCTGCACCTGACACTCCTTCCTCTGGGCTCTCTGGGTCACCTGGCCCTCACAGTGGACCCATGTTTTGCTTTCCAGCTGCAACTTTTTGGAGGGAGAGGCCATGTGAGCTCTGATCTGAGGCCGTGGTCAAAGTATGGCATCACACAAATCTCTCGTAACAAGAGTCCCCAAATTATCATAGTCTCTTGTTTCATTCAGCAGTGGCAAATGCTGTTTGGATTGAATAAACTTCCCTCCTTAAGGAGAAGGTTCAGGAAGATGGTGTTGGGGGTAGTGTTACAAACCTGCTCTTCTATTGGGTACTTCTTTGCATGTTACTAAGTTCTAATTGTTTTTACTTTTACAGATGGTTGTTCTTGTTAAAGTAAGACTTCGGTACTTTTTTTTTTTTTTGTACTGGGGATTGGACCCAGGGGTGCTTAACTACCTAGTCACATCCCTGGCCATTTTTGTATTTTATTTAGAGACAAGGTACTACTGAGTTGCTTTAGGACCTTCCTAAGTTGCTGAGGCTGGCTTTGAACTTGTGATCCTCCTGCCTCCCCCTCTGGAGCTAACGGGATTACAAGCATGCAACACTGCACCTGGCTTCATTTTTTATTTTGAGACAGTCTTGCTAAATTGCTGAAGGTCTCACTAAATTACTGAAGCTGGCTTGAACTTGCAATCCTGCCTCAGTCTCCTGAGTTGCTGGGACTACAGGCATGCACCACAATGCCAGCAGATGATTTGTTTTTATGGTACCCATAAAGGAATTGCTAATCAAATATAAGAGTAAGCAGGATTTGGGGCTGGGGTTGTGGCTCGGTGGTAAAGCTTTTGCCTAGCATGTGTGAGGCACTGGGTTCGGTCCTTAGCACCACATAAAAATTGAACATTACTCATCAGCCCAGCTCCAGTTACACTGTGCATTCAATGAGCATTCCCTGAGTGCTCACTGAGATCTATTTATAAAAAGATATGGGTCCACCCTGAGGAATTCACAGTCTGGTTGGAGTGCTTAGATACTTGAAAACAATATGGATTTCTAAAAATCTTTTAAATTAATTTTAAAACTTAGGCTTCTAAACTGGGCACAGTGGTGCACACCTGTAATCCCAGTGACTCAGGAGGCTGAAGCAGAAGGATCGCAGGTTTGAGACTAGCCTCAGTAATTTAGTGAGGACCTAAGCAACTTAACAAGACCCTCTCTCAAAATAAATAAATAAATAAATAAATAAAAGGGCTGGGGATGTGGCTCAGTGGTAACATGCCTCTGGGTTCAATAACTAGTACAAAAAAAATAGGCTTCTGATTCACTAATTACAACAGGAGTTTATTTTGGGGGGGGGGTGGGAGTGTGGGGGGGTGCCAGGGATTGAACTCAGGGGCACTTGATCACTGAGCCACATCCCCAGCCCTATTTTGTATTTTATTTAGAGACAGGGTCTTACTGAGTTGCTTAGTACCTTGCTTTTGCTGAGACTGGCTTTGAACTCACAATCCTCCTGTCTCAGCCTCCTGAGCTGCTGGGATTACAGGCATGCACCACCATGCCTGGCAGTTTCTTTCTTCTTGCTTATCCATTTCTCTATTTTTACTGAGTTCAATTATGAGGTTGTCTGGTACCCACAGAATTATTTTTCCCCTGCACTGGGATTGAACCTGGGGACTCTGCACATACTAGACAAGCACTCTACCACTGAGCTATACCCTCATCTGCACCCTACAGAAATTTAATATTAAATTTATTCATTTATTTATTGAGTTCTTATTACATTGTAGGCATAAATAAAACACTGAAGTAAAGATTCCTGATTAATTGAAGTTTACATTCTTCCCCCCACCCCCCAAAAGATAAGAGATTTGCTGTCTAGAACCAAAAAACCTGGTGGGTTAAAAGTCAGGGAATACCAACAGCTGGGCTTTTATGTGGAAGGCCTGAAGTCTGTGCCTTGTGAAAATTATGCACAAATTGAAAAGCTGATGGAACAAGGAACAAAAATCAGGACCACAGCTTCAACCAACATGAACACCAGCAGCAGCAGATCCCACATGGTCATCACTATTCAGCTCAAGCAGGTGAGGTTCAGGTGACTATCTGTGTCCTGGTGACCTTAGGGAGGGTCCCGAGTGGCATAATAGGCTCATGGATACTGTGGGATCCTTCCCAATTTGTTAGGGGGTTGGTACCAGGGATTGAACTCAGAGACACTCAACCACTGAGCCACATCCTCAGCCCTATTTTGTGTTTTATTTAGAGACAGGGACTCACTGAGTTGCTTAGCATCTCGCCATTGTTGAGGCTGGCTTTGAACTCATGGTCCTCCTGTCTCAGCCTCCTGAGCCCAGTTTGATTTATGGATTAAAGTGGCTGCTTCCAACCATAGAATATAGGGTCAGAAGGAGGAAAAAGTGAGGACCTGTTCTTCTACTGCCCATCCCTCACCTTCATATCCGTGCCCCACTCTGCACTATTGCTCATGGTGAAGTCCTACCACACACCAGATGCTCACAGTGCCCAGAGGACATTGTTAGCTGTTGTCCTTCAAGTACATTTCATGCTGTGAGAAATGAATTTTGACCCCAAGTTGATCAAGGAGTAAATTGTGAAGATATGACCATGACTCTGTAGTTGGAGTCATGGTCTTGGAGAACTGAATCAGTAGCAGGCCTATATATCATCAATATAAGGACCAGCAATATCAGATCCATGAGCCTAGGGCCACATACTGAAGTACTTTCTGATACTTGGATTAATTCTTGGAAACCAGGTAATCCATGTACCATGTAACTTTCTACTTACTAAAGTCCACTAAAGTGGGCTTTTCTCCTCTGTATTATTAGCTGGGCATCAGGGACTGGTATGTACAATATCCCTAGTTTGATCTAGAAGTGGCAATTCACAAGTCTTGTGGGAACACTGTAATTAACTATGATTGTACCAATTCTACCCTGTAAGCCACAGTACTAGCAGTAAAGTAAGCATCAATGAAAATCATCTTGTGCTCAGCCATGATTGGTGGACAAACACTGGATCGTGCAGACTTTTTTATTGACCAGCTCTAACACTTGGAGAAATAATCTCCCTAACCCTCAGTTTCTTCTTCTGTAAAATAGGATGCATAGCTCTCCTCCCACAAAAGTTGGGAGACTTGAATGAGATAATACATTTTAAGAACTTTGTAAATTTTCTCTTTTTTGAACCAGGGTTTGGACCCAGGGACACTCAACCCCTGAGCCACATCCCCAGCCCTTTTTTATTTTATTTAGAGACAGTGTCTTGCTGAGTTGCCTAGGGCCTTGATGAGTTGCTTAGGGCCTCACTAAGTTGCTGAGGCTGGCTTTGAGCCCACGATCCTCCTGCCTCAGCCTCCCAAGCTGCTGGGGTTACAGGCGTGCTGAACTTTTTAAACTTTTAAGGGCTAGTCACTTGATTTTACAATGTTAGTAAAATTCACAAACTTCTTACATGGTTTACCCGGATAATTTATTTGACTTCATATTTTAAGGGCAAGAGAAGAAATCAGCCACAAATAAACAAGTGAAGAGATTTACAGCCCTGCTCTTCAGTGGGGTCAGCAGTAATAGGAACACCTCACATTCCATTCCGAGCATGTGTTAGGACCTTTGCATCTATTACCTTGAACCCCTATGACATCTCAATAATGTGCTGTTGTCACCATATTACAGGTTAAGTGCAGGTCACCAGCAAGAGAATCTGTAGGATTCTAAAATGGAGGTTCGTTCCACTCTAAGATCACACAATCCTGAACAATTACTTATTTTGCACTTCCCCAGTATTTTACATTTTTAAATCTCAATGACCATGGATACTCCAGAGCAATCGTTGATGTCTAGTATTTCCTCAGAAAAGAGCTTTGCAGAAATGGGAAGGGACCAGTGAGACACCTGGGCCTGGTCATGCCGCTGTAAAGAGGATGGTGTTGTGAATGGCTGATTAATTTCATTTTGTTGCTTTTTTTTTTTTTTTTTGAGTTTGAAATACAATCCCAAGAACCATTTGAGCATGTGGAAGAGGTTGGGCTCTCTAACAGCATGGCCTGTGTGTGTCCCTACAGGTTTTCCTAGACAAAGCCCTCACCAAACAATCCAGCATTAATCTGGTAGATTTAGCTGGAAGTGAAAGGCAGAGATCTTCAGGAGCTGAAGGGGACAGACTGAAAGAAGGATCTCGGGTTAACTTAAGTTTAACCAGTTTAGGAAACGTTATCAGGTACGTAGCCAGGGTACAGGGGTCTGTGCCATAAAAATGACCTCAGATAAGAAAAAGCAGAGGCTGGGGTGTGTGGCTCAGTGGTAGAGCCCACTTATCAGGTGCCCTCTGGGTTCAGCCCCCAGCACCAGAACAAATCCATGAATAGAAGGAAAAATTGGTTATAACCCTGGGTCATGATTCAATGTTTTAGTCAACATTTTGCTGCTACGACCAGAAGGCCTGACAAGAAGTTTATTTGGTCCTCGTGTTTCAGAGTTCTCAGTGCACAGACAGCTGACTCCATTGCTCTGGGCCTGAGAGCAATTATGGCAGAAGAGTGTGGAAGAGGAAAGCAGATCAGGACATGGCACCAGGAAGCGGAAACAGCAAGCTCAATATAAACCCCAAGGGCACACACCCAGGCACCATCGCCCGCCCACAGTCATCACCCAATTAATCCATACTGGTGGATTAAGCTGTGGATTAGGTCACACCTCATAACCTAATCATTTTGCCTCACACATTTTGTCTCACACATGAGCCTTTGGGGGACACCTCATATCTAAACCATGACACTCAGTGTCATCACTAGCTCACACCTGGTCCTCCTGTATGTAACAAAAATACTAACACCACTACAAACCCCAAGAACTAGGTGGCACAGGATTCTTCTCCTGGTCTCCACTACTTGAATTTTATGTTCTCTGTCTCATCCTTCCTCTCTTCTTATTTTATCGTATTTAAATTCTATGGCTTAATGACCAAAAGATAACCTGCTATAATGTCTTCTGTGGCTTGCTTTTAAAAAATTTCTTATTAAGGCAAAAACCATAGTACACAAATCTTAAATCTCAATTCATATATAGACGTGTACACACACACACACACACACACACACACACACACTCCTGTGTAATTATCACTGTTGTGGTTTGAATCTGAAATAGCTTCCAAAAGCTCATGTGTTGAAGGCAGCAATGTTCAGAGGTGGGACCTTTAGGGGCTGATTGGTTCCTGAGGGTTCTGACTTCATCAATGGATTAATCCACTTACCGGTTCATAGTTCAATGGGCTTAATGGAGGTGATGGAAACTTTAGGAGATGGGGACTATTGGAAAGAAGTTAGGCCACTGGGGACTTGCCCTTGAAGGGTATATTTTGTCCCCAACTCTCTCTGCTTCCTGGCCACTATGAGGTGAACAACTTCTCTGCCACATAGCTGCCTGTCATGTTTCACTTTGCCATGGCCCCAAAGCAGTGTGACTAAATAACCATAGACTGAAACCTCTGAAACCCTGAGCCAAATAAACCTTTCCTGCTTTATTTTTCTCTGATATTTTGTCACAGTAAGGGAAAACTAACCAGACCACCCAGATGAAAATGCAAAGCATTTCAAAACCCAAAAGTCTTCCTTTATATCCTTTCCTCCCAGCAGAAATTGTCCTTTGTCCTCAGATTAGTTTTGCCTAATTTTCTTGATTCTTATATAAATTAGACCGTTTATGAGGTCCCTGTCTTGTGTATCTGACTTCTTTTACTAAGGATTGTGTTTCTGAGATTATTCAAATTTGCTGCATGTAGTAGTTATTCTTCTCATTATTCTGTAGCCTTCCATTGTGTGAAGATATCACAATTTATCTATCTATTCTTCTATTGATGGATAGTTTATTTTTAGGTTTGGGCTATTATTAATACAGTTGCCATGAACATTCTTGTACATAGTACTTTGGAAAAATAATCACTCATTTCTTTTGGGTATGTACTGAGGAGAATTTCAGGGACTTACTTTTAGACTCAGCTTTTTTGGGGGCAGTGCTTCTGGGGAAAAACTCAACGTATTTTGTATACAAAGCAAATGCTCTACTATTGAACTATAGCCCCAGCCCTAGACTCAACATTATTAACAATACCTAACCATATTATGTGTTCCTAGTTAGTTTTTTTTCTATGCTATTCTTTCATGAAACTTCATGAGATTCATTCATGTTGTTGAATGTAGCTTAGTCTCCTATTGATTGGCATTTTGGTCATTTCCAGTTTGGTTTTGCTATGACAATCAGTGCTACCATGACCATTCCTATACAAATCATGGGGTACTAATATGTTCACATTTCTTTTGAGTATAGACAAAGAATTGAAATTGTTGGGTTATAAGGTGTGCAAATACCTAATTTTATAAGATGATGACAAATATTTTTCCAGAGTGGTTGGATCAATTTTATGCCCAATAGGAATATATAATATATCCTCTTGATTTACATCTTTTCTAAGGCTTGACATTGTCAGATTTCTCAGTATTTACCAATGAAGTTGGTGTAAATGTTTTTTATTGTGATCTTGATGTTTCTGGTTACTAGCAAGTTTACGCATCTCTTGATAAGTTTATTAACACTATGTTTCCTCTTGAAATGCCTATTCTTATTTTTTTCCATTGTTTTATTGAGTTATTTTCTTTTTATTGATTTGCATTTATTCTTTTCATATTTTATTATCTTTTTCAGGCATACGTATTGTAAGTATCTTCTCCAAGTTATATAGGTTTTTAATTTTCTTACAGTGTGTATTGATGAACAGAAGTTACGATTCTGGCCAGGCGTGGTGGTGCATGCCTGTAATCTCAGTAGCTCCTGGGGCTGATGCAGGTGGATTATGAGTTCAAAGCCAGCCTCAGCAAAATCGAGGTGCTAAGCAACTCAGTGAGACCCTGTCTCTAAATAAAATACAAAACAGGGCTGGGGATGTGGCTCAGTGGTTGAGTGCCCCTGAGTTCAATCTCTGGTACCTCCCACCCCCACCCAAAATTTTAGATATAGATGGGTAGAATTTTCTTTCAAATCATTAAGGATGTCATTCTATTTTTTAAAAAAACTGGGTATCCTATGGCTGTTACCTCAATGTAATCTTTTTTCCCCCTAATTGCATTGAAACTCTTTATTTTTGGTGATCTCCAATTTGACCATGTTGTACTTGAGTGAAAATTTCCATCCTCATTGGGATTTCTTGGACTTCATATCTCAGTGGATTGTGATTTTCATCAGTTCTGGAAAATTTTCAGCCATTAACTCATGCACTTGCTCTGCCCGTTTCTTTCCCCTTTTCTCTTTCAGTACTTCAGTTAGCTGTTTGGATCCCCTCACTCTGTCACCCATGGTCCTTAACCTTTCCCTTGTTTCCCGTCACTGAGGTGCTGGGCCATAATCTGGATTGCATTTTATGAGCTCTCTAATTCACTAATTCCAACTACAGCACTGTCTAATTTCCTATTAAACATGCCCGTGGTGTTTTTAATATCAATTGTTCTTGTTTTTGTTCTTTAAAGATCAGTTTGTTTCTTTTCCAACTTTGCTGTGTTGATTTTCTCTTTCTTTCTTTTATTTATTTTTTTGAGACAGGGTCTCCCTTCAGGTTCCCCCAGCTGAGCTTGAACTTGGTATCCTCCAGCCTCAGCCTCCCAAGTAGCTTTGTGCTATATTAATTTTGTAGATTTCTTTTTCCCTTCTTGTGATTATAATTTCTTACAAATTTCCTCCCTCCTATTTTTACTCCCCTGGATGCCATCCCCTTGAGACAGGGTCCTCATGATATTGCCCAGGCTGGCTTTGAACTCCTGAGTTCAAGTGATCCCCTCAGCCACCTGAGTAGGTGTGCACCACCACACTGGCTCAATGATGCTTTCTTTGTTGTCCCCTGGAGTCGGGTGGGGACTTGTCATTCCCTCTCACCCTAAGGCTGCAGTCATAGCAGGGCCTCCCTCAAGGATCTTAAGGTAGTAGGAGAGAAAAGGACTTCGGATCACTTCCCAAACCTGTCCTCCCCCTGCCCAGCTGCCCCCATATTCCTTCTCTTTATACATGTTGGCAATGAAAGCCTGCAGTCTCTTCAGCCTAAAGGGGGTTGGATCTCAGGCCTGGGCTTCCCCTTCTCTGTTACGCTTTCTGCAGGGCTGACTCTGGACAGGGACTCAGTGGCTCATGCACATTAGCTCTCTTGCTTCTGCATCTTTGTACACAAGGTATCTCTACTCTTAGGTATTATCATCAGATTTGTGGAGCCAAAGGGGATTTGAGTGAGGACTTTTCTGAATTATCCCTAGGGATAATTTTTTTTTTAACTTCTTGATACTTTTTTTTTAATTCACTTTTTTTGTTGTTGTTCTTTTTTTTTTTTTTTTTTTGCATTCAGTGCTCTGGCTGATGCAGCCATTGGGAAGAAAGTCTTGCACATTCCCTACAGAGATTCTGTACTGACCAAACTGCTCCAGTCAGCTCTGGGTGGGAACAGCAGAACTACTTTGGTAAAATCACCTTCTTACAACATTTTAGCCTGATTCAGCTATTATTGTTATAGTTATCGTTATTGTTATTGTGGTTAAAATTATTCTCAGTACCTTCATAATATAGCACCTGACCCACAGCATGGACTAACATATGACTTTTGGTGCCCTTTGTACTGCAATCTTCAATAAAGCTTCTATATTACTAATCTTAATTTTTTTTTTTTTTTGGTACCAGGGATTGAACCCAGGGGTTCACTTAGCCACTGAGCCAATCCCCAGCCCATTATTTTTTGAGACAGCGTCTTGCTAAGTGCCTAGGGTCTTTGCTAAGTTGCTAGGGCTAACTTTGAACTTGTGATCCTCCTGCCTCAACCTCCCAAGCTGCTGAGATTATAGGCGTGTGCCACTGCACTTGGCTGCACTAACTTTTCTTATTTAATTTTTTCTGTAGTTTTCAGGTTTTCTACAAGGAACATACATGATTTTTTGTTTTGTTGTTTTTGTAATGCTGAGGTTGGAGCCCAGGACTTTGCATTTGCTAAGAACTCTACCATAGAGCTGCACTCCCAGCCCAGGACATGTATTACTATTACTATCAGAAAAAAAAAAAACAACAATGAATACAATTTAGAAAGTAACAGTAGCAATGTCGTGATATTCTCAAGCAGCAGTCATTGCGTGGTGAGGTTGGAAATTTTCATTCGACTGTGATAGTCACAGGGCAGACTCACAATCTGGAAAGCAGCTGAATCTGTCATGTTAGCAAAGATGCCAGACAGCACAGCATGTTTGCCATATGGATGGGACATGAAATGTGTTAAAATCAGGGCTCGATGCTCTTCTGCTGCAGAGGGGGCAAACCTAGGTGAACTCTGCCTCCTGCAGGGTCCTGCTTAGGAGAGAAATGCTCCCTACTGGGACCTGGGACCAGACCTCTCCCCAAAATTTACAATATAAACATCCTTCCATTTTTATCACTTAATCTAGCCCATTTTTATTGTTTATTTATCCTTTTTTTTTTTTTTTTTGCAAGACTGGGAAGTAGAACCCAGGGTCTCATGTGCTAGGCAAGTGCTATGTCACTAGGCTACACCCTCAGCCCTTAACTAATTTTAAATATTTAATTTTAATGATTTTCTAGTTACCAGTTACCTGTGGGCCTCAATGGGACATTCCCCAAGAACCTAGAATAAGACAGTGTACATGGAAGCTGGGGATGTTGCTCAGGGAAAGAGTGCTCATCTAGCATGTCCAAGCCCTGGTGTTCAATCACCAGCACTGCAAAAATACAAAGGAAAACAAAAACCAAAGACATAAGACACCCTCTGAATGTTGACTGCAAACTAAAATTCAACACATCTGTGTGTACAAAATTTCCTGAGAATGAGACCAACAGGACAACGTCTACATGTGCAGATCTTCAAGGTTAGATCTGCACCATTTATAAGGACACAAAGACTGTCTGAAGGTATCACAGTGAGGTTTGTTTGTTTTAGGGTTGGGCATGGAACCCTGCCACAGGCACTGCCATGGAGCCACACCTACTTTCTCCCTTATAGTGTGGGAGGAGGAGGTGAGAGGTGGTCATTGATCATCTCAGGAAGCAAATAAAACACAGAATCTGAAAGGTCCACCTCTAAGCTCTAAACTCTCCATGGTCCCAGTCCCACTTGCAGCATGGATATCCTAAAACCTCATTTCTTTCATGTCTAAAGTGGAGCAAATAACAATAGCCACCAGAGAATAGCTGTGATGGTTAAATGAGGTGATACAAATGAACCCGCTTTAAATGCTATAACTTTTCCAGGTGCAGTGGTGCACATCTGTAATCCCAGAGACTCGGGAGGCTGAGACAGGAGAATCACAAGTTCAAGGCCAACCTGGACAATTTAAGGAGACTCTTGTCTCAAAATAAAAAAGGCTGGGAATGTAGTTCAGTGGTAAAGCACTCCTGGGTTCAGTGCTCAGGACCAATAAATAAATAAATATATATTTAAAAAATAAAAATGACTGTGGAGGTAACTTAGTGTTAAAGCATCCCGGAGTCAATCCCAAGTATCAAAAAAAAAAAGAAAGAAAAAGATAAAGAAAGAAAGAAATCAGTCCTTAAATCTCCCAGGTGAGTTAATACTCCAAGAACTGCAAGTTCAAGGCTAGCCTCTGCAATTTAGCAAGCCCCTGTTTTTCAAATCAAAAACAAAAAAGGCTGGGAATGTAGCTCAGGGATAGAGCACTTGCCTTACATGTGCAAGACCCTGGGCTTAATCTCCAGTAATATACACACACAAGCTATAAGGATAAACTATACAGGATTATTCCCCAGGCTCTTAATGCTCTGGATCCTGAGCTGCCAGGTCCTCAGACTATGTTCTGTCTCTGTGGTCACTCTCAGTGACAGCACCTATCTCCAAATCGTCAAAACTTTTGTTTCTAATTTGAAAAGTATTTTCCAAATTCTAGAACAATTAATCCAAAGTCAATAGCCAGACTTGAAACCATACAAAAATGGCTGTTTGGGTGATGCTGCCCACTGGGAATTTTGTCTCGCTGTCAATAGAAATGAAACTGAGTCACACATATGAATATATAGGCCTTTTGGGATCCTCAACTTAGGCACAGCTCCAACAAGAAAATGTCAGGCTGGCTCCCCGAAACAAACAGGAGCTCTTTTCTTGGAGTGCTTGCAGGAATGGGCTGGGGTTTAGGAATGTTAATGGCTTTAGGTGCACTTGGCCCTGTGAGGGCATTTTCTGTTGGCATCATTGCCCTGATGAATTAAGTGAAAGTACCTTGGCTTCAGGGTGCATCTTCAGGATGGATAAATGGGGAGTGAGAGTGGGAACTTTGAATGGCTGTCTGGCTGTGAGCCAAGACTAGGCATGCATTAGCCCTTTGTCCCTATCATCTCACAGGGACAGGCAAATCCTAGTGATCTCGAAATGCTTTCAACAATCATTCAAACCTTGAGAAAATTACTGGGTATTCCATGGTGAGAGCAGTGTGGTTCTGAGGTCGGCAGCACAGGGGTTAGTCACGAGTGGGTTCAAACCCTAGTCCTGCCAGTTCTGATCTGGGTGACCTTGGCTGTATTATTTTTCTCAAAGCCTAGTTTTTGGAGTGGTCAAATCTGAACAATAATGTAAATTGTAAGATGCGAAACTGTTGTGTGAATGTTAACTGTTTTAATAATATCGATGATAATAAACCTCTATATACATAACAAAATCTTCAAGGGATGTTGTTACAGATTGCAGCCATAAGTCCAGCTGACATCTGTTATGAGGAAACTCTATCAACATTAAGATATGCTGAAAGGTATGTTTATGAATATTTATTAGTCATAGTGATTCTAGATTCTAAATCTAGTAACTTCTTCCAGTCTTCTTCTAATCGGCATTTTGGGGGTGGGACTTCAGGGAAAGGAGAACAAACAATTTGTAAGAGAGGAAATGAAAAGAAATAAAACAAATGAGAAGGAACTGGGACCTAAAGTTCAGAGTGTCATTGTGTCACTCAAGTCAGGATGGGAGAGGAGGCGTGGCTCAGATGGGAACAGCATGGATGCCAATCTGAATGTGATTTAGTTATCTGTCTCCCTGTAGTTTCCTGCCAAATAGCATGGCTGTTCACAGATTCCTCCTACATGGGGAGAGAACAGTGCCAGGCAGGGGATTTTTGTGCTATTAATAAATGAGGATGAGCTCTGTACAAGACAACTCTGTAGGCTCCGAACCGTTTGAATGTGTCGACACTCCTTCACAGTGTGGGGGTGGAGACCACATGTGATCATGTATGAACCATTCCGGGCAAAGCTCTTCCTTCATATAAGCAATGCTCAAAGACTATAATTAGGGGCTGGGGATGTGGCTCACGCAGTAACGTGCTCGCCTGGCATGCGCGGGGCACTGGGTTCCATCCTCAGCACCACATAAAATAAAATAAAGATGTTGTGTCCACTGAAAACTGAAAAATAAATATTAAAAAAACTATAATTATAGCTGGGTGTGAAAATGGTGCACACCTGTAATTACAGTGACTCAGGAGGCTAAGACAGGACAATTACAAGTTCAAGACCAGCCTAGGCCACTTGTGAGACCCTGTCTCAAAATGAAAAATAAAAAGGGCTGGGAATGTAGCTCAAGGTAGAGTACCTTTGGGTTCAGTTACCATGAGGTGAAAAAAACCTACTCAAAATTGTAGATATGATTATGCCGCCAAGTAATTACCTCTCCTTCTAGTGTTCCCTTGGGTCTTCTTCTCAATGAGGAAGCCCTTGGATTTGAATGAAAAACACTTTCATTCCCATTCTTCATTGCTGGGCCTCAACATCAATTTACCATTAGACATTTTCTTCCTGTATCTGCAGTCTCAGATCTTTAGTCAAATTTTGGCTTTAGCAGCATCTAGAATGTTCTCCCTGACTATCAGGTGCAAATCTGTTGCCAGCAGTTTTTAAGTGAGAGGCTACATGGTACAGAAAAAAGGGAAAAACGGTAACCAGAGTCCTGAACTCTGATCCCATATCTGCCACATATTCTGTGAGTTGGGCAAGTCTGGTTGTAACTCTGTATTTCAATCTCTTTGTGTAAGAAGAAAGGAGTAAGATTGCCAGTTTGAGCAAACAAAAAATACAAGATGCTGCCTGAGGGTGCAGTTCTGTGGTAAAGTGCAAGCTTTGCATGCACAGGCCCGGGTTAGAGCCACAGTGGGTGAGCATACACAATACAAGATGCTCAGTTAAAAATGAATTTCAGATAAAGAACAAAGTCATGCTTGAATGTAATATTTGAAGCATTTCCTATTTTCTCTGGTGGCACTGGAGGGGAATGAACCAGAAAACCCAAGCCCCTTCTAGCCTGGGGCACACGGCAGAGCAGCCTCTGACAGCCTCCAGGGTTTTAGTTATTTCAGCAGCAGCGACCTTGATTGAACAGATTCTTAAATTAACCAAGTGTGTTGAGGCCCAAGGACACCCAGGGACTGAGCACCCAGCCATGGCTCAGCTGTACATGTTTATTAAAACAATGCAGTTTCCTGAAGTCGATTTGGGTCTTAATGGTTTTGTGGAACAGAACATGCTGGAATCTATAGTCACCAGAAAAGGGGTGAATGGGATCTGAGCACACCTGCTGCTGCCCCAGGACCAGTGGTGGTGCTGCTTGGGTAGTAAAGGGACCTGAGAATGTGTTCATCTTTACACACGAAAGGGCTAAAAAGGTTCGGAACAACGCTGTGGTCAACACCTGGTCAAGAGCAGAGACCAAGACACTGCTTGGATGTGGAAACGCTGGAGCAGCAGGTAAAGTGAGCCAGGAGGCATGCTCAGTCCACACTGGAGCAAGAAGAAGAGCCTGAGCTGGCTGATGCCCAAGGGATTGGGGTTAAAGGGAGGGAGAGGCAGGTGTGCTGGGCCTGGGGAGGGATCTGGGGAGGATCTGAGGGGAGGATGTGGGCAGGTGGGGGGAGGAGCCCTCCAGAACTTTATTCAGGATATTTTGGTTCAACCTTTACACACACACACACACACACACACTAATATATATATATATATATATATATATATATATATATATATATATATATATATATATATATATATATATATATATATATATTATACATATATTAGTTGTTGATGGACCTTTATTTTATTTATTTTTATGCGGTGCTGACAATCAAACCCAGTGCCTCACACATGCTAGGCGAGGGCTGTACCACTGAGCCACAACCCCAGCCTGCAACCCAACTATATTTTGAGATCAATGGAGACTCACAGTTTAAAGAAATAATGACCCTGCCCTTTTAAAATTGTCATTTTTAATTTTGAGTCCATTATTTCTGCCAGGATACTACGTTCCTTGCCAGGTTTAAAAGGTGGTCATTTGACATTTCATGTATTTAAGTGAGGCCAGAAGCCCAGGAAGCATTAGCAGCAGCCTACCTCTTCTAATTCAGTGCCCAGCCTCAACTTCTGCACGCCAGTCACCAAGTGATTGGGCTCTGGTAGGTGAGGGAGCAGTCATTTTCAAAATGCCCCCCAGTTGATTCTAATGTGTAACTATCAAGAACCACGGCTTTAAGGTCTCAGTTTTCAGTTTGGCAGAATGACATGTATGCCCTTAATGATTTAAAATGTGATGGATAATAAAAGTAAAGTAGAAAACTGGAGAAATACAATCAGTATGGTGTTCAGCATCAACCCAGCAATATCAGAAAGTCCAACACTTTCTGTGCTCAGTGCTCCCTAACAGTCACCATCCTGCCCTTCCACGGACTGGTTCACTACGGATTCCACCTCAACAAAAGTCCTTTCTAGATTGGAGTCAGTACATGCAGCTGGTTCACACGTGGCCCTGGTTAGTATGAATCACTAAAACAAAAACTAGATGAGCCTACCTGTAGCAACTAATTCCCATTATTCATATGAACAGACACAAAATACATGGAAAACAACCTAAGATGAACCTAGGCTTCTTCCTCAATCTCCTGGCCTTATGGGACTTGCTGCTATGGTAGTATAAAAGGAAACTCCCCCACAGGCCTATATAAATAGCAGATAGAATCCTGAGCCTGTGCCTCTCTTGGGAGGACCTTCTTGCTCTAATGCCTTTGAGTTAGTCCAGATACTATGCAGTGTAGGATTTAGCCAATGAGCTCTTCACACAGAAGTGCAGCTTTACTTTCTACTCTTGCTGGGAGTCCCCTATTGTCACTGAGAACCCAGTGAGACATATTGAAGTTACTCTAAGTCTTACCTTTGACACTATAGACCTGGTGCTTAAAATCCCTCCCTCCTTTCAGAGCAGTCAGCCTGTTTCCTGGCAGACCACCAGCTGGGGACTCAGTCTATTCAGGAAACCTGGGCACACCTGTTGGAGCAGGCGCGGAGAGAATGGGAGCAGCAGTATGCAGCCATTGCCCAGGTGAGGCCCAGCTCTGCACTGCCCCCCCCCATGCAGTGCTGTCTGGGATATTGTCAGCCCCCAGATTGGGGTGAGGGGCAATGAATTAGCGATTTAATGAATGTGTAGGATGTAACATGACCTAAGACTTACATTATTCTTGGCAAGAGCTGGGGGGAGAGTGGCAGGGCATGAAAGGAAAGGAGGCAGAGAGGCCTTGATGCATACAGAGTGAGGCTGGGGATGGAATTCAAGGCTGTTGGTAATTAGAGTTTGGGGAGAATTTGTGCATGTGCACACTCTAGGGGTTGGAGCCTGGGCCTTGCAAATGCTAGGCAAGTACCCTCAGATTGAGCTACACCCTAGCCCCTGGGCTGTGATGCTGTGATGTCAGTCTTGTCCCCTGGTGAGAGAGATGCCTTCTTCACCTCCACTCATCACTGCCACCTCCACCACGACCTTACTCCCCACAGCCACAAGGCTCTGGGCAAACCCCAAAGACCAGAGTCAGACCTGGAATATTTGGAAGTATGAGGGAGAGCCCAGCCTGGACTCAGGAAGACTCATGAAGTCTAGAATAAGCCCCAGACAGTGAAAGAGGAGTCAGGTAGGGCTCTGTGACTTCAGGAAGCCAGATCAAGTTAGGGACCAAGGATTCTAAAGGTGCCAGCATAACTGGGGCACAGCCAGAAGCCCTATTAAAGTAACTTCCTGTGCAAGGGGTGGAAGGGCATGTGCAACTCTTGGGTCTAGTAGGATCCAGAGTGCAGGAATAGAGGATTTTGTGTTCTGTCTGAAGAGTAACAATTGGAAAGATTTTCATTCTCTTTACTCTTAATGAGAAAGGATTTGCAGATTTTAAAGTTTTCTTTGTGGGGGCTGAGTTGATTTCACTTCTACCTGATAGTCAATCTTCTATCACCGTAACAACAGTCAGTATTGGTATTAAAGAATGAAATGCACTTAGGGTTGATGCAACATGCCCTTTTCTGCCATTGGCAGTTGATGATCAATTCACCAGTCCACTGGACTGGGGAGAATGAGAGCTTTCATGGAGACTCAGGGAAGGGTCATCACACTGGGAATAGGGAGTTGGAGAACTTTAGGAACCTGAAAGAAATGGTGGGGGAAGAAGTCAAAGTGGGAGGGGCCAATGCCTGGGCAGCTGAAGGGAGTTTGGGGAGAATTTGCGCACGTGCACACCCTAGGGATTGGAGCCTGGTGCTTAAAAATTGGAGCCTGGTCTGGGGATGACAGGGTCAGAGGCCAGCTGTGCCTTGGAATACTCCTGTCCAGAAGCACTCAGGCTGACAGCTGACCCCACTCCTGTAGTCAGCGATGCACCACAGGCTCAGCCTTCCTCCTTTAGGAGTCAGTCTGACAAGATGGGGAGAAATGAATGGAAAAGGAGCATTTCTGTCTTCAGTGGGCTGACCCTGTCTGGTGACGGGGACCCTCTCCGTTTCTCCTTTAGGAGCGGCAGATGGTGAAGACCCTTCCTCACCTTCTCAACGTCAACGAGGACCCACAGCTCACGGGGGTCCTGAAGTACTTCATTCACACGGGTAAGTGCTCTCCACCTGCTTGTGCTTCTTGCCCTGAGGAATATGTTCTTTCTGTTTCTTTCCTTATTTCCTTTCTCTTTTTTTTTTTTTTTTGGATTTTTCAATTGTGGTGTAATACATATAACATAAAATTCACCATTTTAAGCTGCTCTAGGCAGGTTCTTATCACCACATTTTTATTTAGTGGTTTCTGGGGAGATGGCAGCCCTTGAAATGACTCTTCAATCCAAACACTGAATAATTGGAATACCAAGGTTGGGGTGCCCCTGGCTTTCTCCTCCCTGGCTGCTGTGCATATCCAAGACAGGTGTGTAGGCTCCATGCAGGATGTGGTCAGAGGCTGAGGCCAGGCTTGCCCAGCAGCTGAAGGTGACACGTTCTGCTTGTCCCATGACGTGGCCAGTCATTAGAAACACAGCTTCATGCCAGGCTTCAGTGCATCTTCTAAGACCAAGACTTAGTGACCATAGAAAAGGTGGAAATTTCAAAAAGTCAGGAATCTCACCAAAAAAAAGTCAGAAAGTAAAACAACTATCCATAAAACAAGTCATGTCCAAGGATCATTATGATTGACAACCCTGGTTGAAAAATCCTTTCACATTATCCTACTGGAGAGAAAATGTCACATGCAAAACATCAAACATGTTATTCATTAGGGTCAAATTCAGACAATTTTTGCAAACAAGCTATCCTCTCTTTAGGTTCGTGTGTTGCTGGTCAAGCTGCTTCGAACGCTATCACTCTTCAAGGCTTGGGGTAAGTTTCTGTGCATTGGCATCAATGTTCTCCAATGTTGAGCATTAAAGAATCTGGACATCTAAATCCAGAGGAGATTCCTGAAGGTCTTCTGGTTATGGCCAGGCCAGGCCCCCAGTCCTGCTAGATAAGCTGGAACAAGGAATTTCCCAGACTTCCCTGCAGGAACACTCCAACACCTATGTAAGAAAGTCACTGGGAGGTTGAGTTCTCTCACTGAAATCCACTGTGTCGTGCTCTGTTTCCCTGGCTCTAATCTTGAGGAAAAAAAGGGGGGGGGGGTGTCAGCACTTGTATAATAATTCTTCATACACGGAAATAAGATCCGACCAGGAAACAGAGTTGGAAGGCCAAATCTCATCTCCACATCTTCAGATCTCAATGCTTACAGCCCTCACCCACTGGACAAATGGAAAGCCCAGACTTTGGGGGTGCTCCTCTCCCTAAGGAATCCCTCAGGAAGCCCCTGCCAAAGCCTGTGTGTGTGCAAAACCCTAGGGTGGGTTTATGCAATCAGAGCTGTCCCCAAGTTCTGTGGCCTCTCTGGTTGGGTGGCCACACTGGGGTTCTCTCCTATTTCTAGAACCACCGTGTCCCAACTGCCCACAGGCCTCAGCCAGCAGTCAGAAAGAGGTCTCCCTGGCCAGTGCTCCCAAAGTCCCTCAGCCCTCCTGAGCAAAGCACATGGATCCTGTGAGACAAGTTTAGGGGGTACTGACCAAAGGCCTGTTGGCACCACCTCACCTGTACCACTAGCCATCTCTGGGCTTCTTCCTGGGGATTTCCCTCCTTTTTCTTTGTAGCCCTCCTCCTTAGTCCAATACACAGGTCTGCAAATGACTGAATTCCACTGATGAGCTGAAGTCAAAACCTTCCCCACAAGACCCCTGGGCCCCATGCAAACAAGTGATGTGTCTCTGCGTCCGGAACATTCAGCCTCAGATACCCAGCCCCAAGTCTTGTCACATAAAGTCTGGATTAGTATGGATAAAGGCCCAGAAACAGATTTACACTTACCTGTACATATATATTTTGAAGTCACCCTCCTAAGTGTCTCTTCTGAAATTTCTTTAAAATTGTTTTTGACATAATAATTGTACATATTTATTGAGTACAGGGTGACATTGCAGTACATGTATATAATGGGTAATGATCAGCTCAGGCTAATTGAAATATCTTTCACCTCAGCCATATATTTCTGTTGTAAACATTAAAAAATCCTCTTTTCTACCTATTTTGAAATATTCTATTAGTTGTTGTCCACCTTCATTATCCTACTGGGCTACTGGCCATTAGAAGTTATTCCTCTTATCAAATTGTGCCCCACTAACCATCCTCTCTCCATCCTTCCCTTCCTGGCACTCTTCCCAGGCTCTGGTAACCACTATTTCACACTTTTTTGAAATAAGCCTTTTAGCTTTCACGTAAGTGAGAGAACATGTGGTCTTTTCTGTGCCTGTCGTATTTTACTAAATAGAATGTCCTCCAGTTCCAACCACATTACTGCAAATGATGTGAATAATAGTCCCTAGTATGTTTTTACCACTTTTTCTTTTCTTTTTTACCTTTATCTTATTTATTATTTTATGTGATGCTGAGGATTGAACCCAGTGCCTCACACATGCTAGGCAAGTGCTCGGCCATGGAGCTATAACTACAGCCCCCACTTTTTCTTAATCTGTTCATTTGTCAATGGGTACCTAGGATGAGTCCATATCTTGGCTGCTGAAACATTTCTGTTTTCAATCCTCCTCCCCCACCCCCACTTCCTACTCTCCACCCCCACCCCACCCCCACCCCCCACCAATATGCACACTGGCCTGTGTGCTTTTGAGGACTATGCTGATCTCTGTGTCTGTAGGTGACCTGTAGCTCTAGGCCCTCAGCTGGGGCTTGTTTCTGTTAATAAAATAGCTGCTTTGCTGTCTGCCACTCACCACTTCCTTAAGGAAGGGCCCTTCCCTCTATTCCCACTTTCCTTGAGCCACAGTCCTGAGGAAGCCTTGATAAATACTTTGGGTATTGTGCAAATGAGAGCGAACAACCTCACTGTTCACTAAAATTGAAATCCACTGGATGACTGAGACATACTCTCGTCTTCATAGAATTTCAGATGAACATGCTTCCTTTATGAACGTGGATGGTAAAGTGACAGTCACTCCACACAGGAAATGCAAGGTTGTTGTGAATGGGGTACCCATCACTTCCAGGACAAAGCTGCAGCATTTGGTAAATTTCTCCTGGGCCCCGGAAGTTTCTAAGTCCTACCAGAGAGCTAGCCGAGGGGCTCTGGGTAGAGCTGGGTGCATCTCACCTTGTGGCTTCTGCTCCTGCTTCATGGTAAGTTACTTGGGCATGGTTTCCAGAGTGACAGATCTGGCCCTACCTCACTATGTGGTGTTCTTGGGTAAGCCACTTCTCTGGATTTCATCTATAAAACAAGGACTGAGCTGAATAAGTCCCAGGATCTCTTACAGTTCTGACATTTGAGTTTTGTGGTTTTTTTTTTTAACATATAGCCTCTGGCAAACATTGGTCCCTCTTCATCTCCTCCCCACCATTCTAGTCAGAGGCTCTACCACCACAGTAGCTCCTATAGCTTCTTTTTTCTCTCCCCTCTCCAGTCTGTCCTCTACCCAATAGCTACAGACCCTTTTAGATTGGTAGACAGAGTTGGTTGCTTCCTTCTAGAAATCCTTTAGTGATCCCCCTTAGGACTCCTGCGTGAGCTGTCCTGCCCCAGCTTCCTCAGGCCTCACTGTCCTGCACATCTGCCCCGAACTTGCTGACCTCTTTTTGATTGGCTCAGCAGTGGCCATCTCTGCCTCACCCAAACATCTCACACATGAAGTCTCAACTTTAAAATCCCATCTTCCAAGAGGATTTTTGTAATCCCCAGTCTGAATTAGACCCATTGGGCACTGTAGAGAAGCCCCTGCACTTTTTTTTTGAACAGTTTATGAGTACTCAGTTTTTCCATAAGACTTACAAGGGAAGGGTGGGGTCTGTTTTCCATTGATTCTCCTGGGCCTGGCAGGGAGGTAGCGCTCTTCTGCTGATGAAAGCAAGATGATGCCTTTCCTCCTCTAATATGGGTCTTTTCCCTGTTTGGGGGATTTTCAAGGGCAGAATTTTTCTCAGATCACTCTAGTACAAGGGACATGGGGCTATGGCTCCTCCTGAAGCAGTATGACTCTCGCCTTCTGATCTCAGGCTGAGGTGAAGGCAGCACCCTTCCCCTGAGCCTATGTTTCCTCCCTAGGACCGCATTATTCTGGGGTCCAACAGTGCCTACCTCTACATTGGATTTCCTTCAGAGAGAGGCAGTGAGGACTTGAGCAGATTTGACTATGACTTTTTCCAGCTGGAGAGGGTAGCTGCGGAGGGAGTAAGCATGGACAAGCTTGGTAAGTGGCTCCTGGATCCAACTTTTGGCATCTTCCATGAACTGATCTGAAAGCAACTGTTTTCACTGTGTGCTTTCCTGCTTTCCTTAAGACAATCATCTTTTATTGGGTCAGAGTAATGTACCTTGTTAAAATATCATTTCCATATAAATATAGAGTGAGTCCATGTCAAAGATTTAGTTCATTAAACTCAGGAAAAATGTGGCATTTATACACAATGGAGTATTACTCTGCATTAAAAAATGACAAAATCATGGAATTTGCAGGGAAATGGATGGCATTAGAGCAGATTATGCTAAGTGAAGCTAGCCAATCCCTAAAAAACAAATGCCAAATGTCTTCTTTGATATAAGGAGAGCAACTAAGAACAGAGTAGGGACGAAGAGCATGAGAAGAAGATTAACATTAAACAGGGATGAGAGGTGGGAGGGAAAGGGAGAGAAAAGGGTAATTGCATGGAAATGGAAGGAGACCCTCATTGTTATACAAAATTACATACAAGAGAAAGTGAGGGGAAAGGGAAAAAAAACAAGGGGGAGAAATGAATTACAGTAGATGGGGTAGAGAGAGAAGATGGGAGGGGAGGGGAGGGGAGGGGGGATAGTAGAGGATAGGAAAGGCAGCAGAATACAACAGACACTAGTATGGCAATATGTAAAACAGTGGATGTGATTCTGCAATCTGTATATGGGGTAAAAATGGGAGTTCATAACCCACTTGAATCAAATGTGTGAAATATGATATGTCAAGAACTATGTAATGTTTTGAACAACCAACAATAAAAATTTTTAAAAAAGGGGTACAGACCATTCAAAGGGCTATAAAGAGAATGGTGTGTTGGCTGGGGTTGTGGCTCAGTGGTACAGCACTTGCCTAGCATGCGTGAGGCACTGGGTTCAATCGTCAGCACCACATAAAAATAAATAAAGATATTGTGTCCATCTACAACTAAAAAATATTTTAAAAAAGAGAGAGAATGGTATATATATATAGATAAATAGCAAAACAACACCAGAAAGCTGAAATAATATTTCTGGTTACCTAAAGCCAACTAATGATGTTTAGCTCCACCCAGGGGCCTGCTGGGCCTACAGAACCTGTGCCCCAGTAGTTAGAGATGTTGGTTGGGAGCCTTGGTCTGGAGGAATGGTGAGGAAAAAAATCTAGGTCCTGGCCTTAAGGAAATCATAGCCATAGGTTTCTGAGTCAAAGATCTCCTGGGATTGGGGTGTAGCTCCATGCAAAACATTTGTCCAGCATAATGCCCTTGGTTTCGTCTCCAACACAGCAAAACCAAATGAACAAAAAATTTCCCTTTCCCCAGCTCAACCTACCCTTGTTACCCTGCAATAATCAGATTCCTCATAGGTGAGTGAGCAGAAGCTCTGCTTTCTGCCTGCTCATCTCTCTGCAAGCTTCAGATGGAAGCTCTTGAGCACCTGCCTGTGTGTCTCCTTCACTGTACTCAGGATGGACTGGACCCACTGAGGTCTTTGTAATGTACTGGCTTTCCAGAGAAGTCACCTATGCTTTAACCATCTTAATAAACTGCAGATGCGGGGCTGGGGTTGTGGCTCAGAGTTAGAGCACTTGCCTACCATGCGTGAGGCACTGGGTTCGATCCTCAGCACCACATAAAAAGTAAAATAAAGACATTGTATCCACCTATATAACTAAAAAGTAAAAATAAAATAAAATCTAAAAATAAATAAAAATAAACAGTAGATGGAGAGCAGTAGACTACAACTGCCCTTATGCAAAAGTTCCTCCCTTTTCTCTACATCAATGTGTTTTAATCAGAATTTTAGCAAAATAAATTGATTTGAAATTCACTTCTTTGTTCTTCTTTTGCTGAAGTTTTTGTCCAAAATCAAACCAACAAGGCCTGAACAATCCACCTACTCATTGATTTGTTCACAGTAAGTGACTGCCCAGTTGCCTTCCCAGCACAGGGCTAGTGGCACAATGAAGTTAAACAAACCACCCGAATATAACCCAAGTAAGAACAGCCTGCTTGCTGTGCACTGAAGCTTTGGGATAAATCCCCAGACTTTTCCTTGAGCCAACCAGATTTTACCCCTGCCCTTGCCCCTGCCTGGAAAGTTTGGAGTCACCTTGGATCAAGGGCCTTGAGACCAGGAATGGGAAATGGAGGCAGAGAGCCTCCTGCCATGGTGCAGCCAAGATCCCTAGGTTGAGAAGACCAACTCTATGAATGGGTGAATGAAAATACACATTTATTCATGGCTGGAAAGTTATCACTGCAAAGGACAAATTTTCTTTTCCATTCTGGCTTTCGCAAGGTGCTGTGAACAGTGGAGATGGCCAAGCAGACCCCAGTGTCCTGGCTGTATTCCAAGACTACGTCAAACTCATGCCATTGGTTGCAGAAGCAAATCAAATGAGTGAAGAACTGAAGAAGGTAATTTATCTAAAGCCCAAACACAATATAGTTTCAGGTCCAGAGAGAACCTTGAGGTCTACAGAGATGTGGGGTTTCCCCAAGATCCCACAGTGAGCTAGTAACAGAAACTAGCCTAATACCCGTGATCCCCCGCCTCCCTCCGCCACCCTGAGCACCACTCCAGCCACAGCTGTCCTACCAGTGCCACCAGCACCCAGACCAACACTTGCTGGCCATAACCACCTACTCCTGATTGTTCCAGTGCCTCTTTTGGCACCTTGATGATTGTTGTGCCTCAGAGAGGACCTGGCTGAAGTTAGTTCCAGTGACAGATGCCAGTCAGTGGGAATCTTGTAAAAGATTTAATCACATTAGTAAGTACTGTTAAGTGTTACTTCCAGGATGTGGTTGAGAAATTCCAGTATTCTGTCATTTCTCTTGGCAAGAATTTCAAGCACCAGAGTCAAGCCATGTTCTTTAAAAAAAAAAAACCCAAGTGTGGGAAGAATGAAAAGAAAATTGCAAAGGGGGTGTGGGCTGATAAATGAAGTGTTTCTTTTACTAGGAACTTAACATGGAATTGAAGGTGAAGAACCTAGCATCATCAGATTCCAGGGGCTATGACCTACAAAAGGAGGTCATGGTGAAGGTGACCAACCAAAGGACTCATGAGGTGAGGCCTGCATCTGTGGACAGCGGTGTGTCTCCCACAGGGTTCTGAGGAGCTTTTCTAGGGATACAGGTTTTGTTTGTTTGTTTTACCAGCAGCAACCAGTAGAGACCCCAGTGAAGAGGCAAGCTATGTTCCAAGTATAAGTGGAGTTCTGAGGGAGTCTCTTCCATGTTCTCTCACCTGGGTCTCTCTCCCACACAGTGCCAATTCCCAGGATCTTTCCTAACCACCCTCTCTGAACATTCTTTCTTCTTGCTTAACATGGCTCAAAAGCTTTAATGCCACAAGGGAGCCTGAAAGTTCATCCAGCTGGTAATGGGGTCCATGTCTGTGTGTATGTATGTGCAAGTGTGGACATTTGTGTGTGTGCAAGTGCATGTAAGAGAGGAAGATTTACCATTCTGAAGCAATGATAAAATTCACACTTTCATAAGACCCTGGAATAGTCCATTCACCTACTCCACTGACTGATCCATTCCTGTGTTGACATTGCTGTCAGTAGATCTTTTATAGAAACTTGAGGTTTTCTTTCCTCTCCCTTCTGCTGTGGAGCCACTTCTAGGCTTTTTTTCTAGACTAAACCTGTGTGCTTATCTTCCCTTAATGCTGTGATAAATTTTCATAAACCCAAACATATTACCTTATTGTTTCCTAGGCTAGAAGTCCAACAGGGGTCTCACTGGGCTACAAACAAGGTGTGGGCAGGGCCAATTTGTTCTTGAGGCTCAATGGGAAAATGTGTTGGCTTTTTCCGGCTTCTAGAGGCTACCAGAATTCCTTGGCTCATGGCTACCTTCCTCCATCTTCAAAATGAGCCACATCATATTTCTCTGACCCTGTTTTGGTCACCACATCTCTCTCTGCCTCTCTCTTCTGCCTCCCTCTTCCACATTTAAGGTTCTTGTGAGTGCCGCAGTCTGGCTGGGCACAAAATCACGAGCCACTCAAACAGGAATAAACTTTATTTTTGAAACTCCCACCAATGCCTTGTATGCTCCCGGGAAATATGCCGACCCACACACGCAGCATTCTCCCGGACACACACACCAATAGGAAATCCCTCCTCCGGAATTCCCTCCTACTGCACTTCCCCAACCAATGGGAACTCTCCGGGAGTCCAGTAGCAGGCCGAGGTGGACAGCAGGGGTCTAATATCCATTTGAATGCAGATCTTAACATAATTATATCATCTCAATGGCTTGCTGGCGTCACCTTTCAACCCAAAATGCCATGCATCATTACTACTTGGCTATGGCTCTTAGCATGTGAGTACACAGGGCCTATCTGGATAATCCACACTAACCTCATTTTAATTCAGATGATAAGCAGACTTAATTCCATCTGCAACCTCAGTTCCCCTCAGTTCACATTCATAGGATCCGGGGATTAGAATGTGGGTGAAAAACCAGCTTCTATCTCAGAGCAAAGCCTGTCCAAGGAAGGGACATGGCCTTTGTCCTTGGAAAAACCCACAGAGCACTCCTAAGCACATTCCCACCCTGCTAAGTTATTTATCTACAAATAACAGAGATCTGCTGTGCCAGGTGTCCCTGACTCAGTCAGGCTAGGTGGGGACCCATAGCAGCCCCCTAGCGGCCACCAATCAGCATGAGTCAAGGAAATACCTGGGATGCCAGATGACCCTCCCAGTAGTTTATGGTGGTTGATAACATATTGGGAAACCATGTAGTTCAGCATGTACACCCCTCTTGGCTCAAACCAATCAGTTCAAACGAATACCCCTTGTACTGACCAATCACCCCTACCCAACTTGTTCCCGCCAGTGAATGTGCTAATCATGTTTTAGAGTTGTTATTTGATTTTCCCGCGGTGTGTGATGATTTGCTATGATGTATGTGAAGTCCCTGCCCTCTCCAAAGAATGTATAAAACTGCTGCAAACCCTGGGCTCGGGGCCTCTCAGCGTTACCAGTTGCTGTGTGTGCGCGCGGAGGACCGAGCTAGCTCGCAATAAACACCTCTTTGCTGCTTACATCGATCTTGGGTCTCTGGTGGTCTTTGGGGGTCCCGAATTCGAGCATAACAGTGGGCATCTTTGAGGGCCATTATTCTGGGTACCACAAACCACAAACCTTCATTTTCCTGGGAGGGTCTGTTTTCTGACTCCATCATCATCTCCTCTATGTCATTTCCTGGGCTCAAGTGACTCGAGCACGCCTAAATAACAGGTCCAGCACGGATATGGTATTCTTGAAGAGCCTCGCCAAAGCTAAGTTTGCAGAGTGGTGTGTGGTCTTGGATACCCCAAATCAGCCCACTGGAAGGAGCATGCTGGGAAAAATCAGGCGGATGAACTGTTGGAGCAGTAGATGAAACAAATATTGGTGACCTACTTTGTGTTCGCAGGTGTGGATTTGGTCAAAAGCCAAGTTTATCAATAGGAAATTCTTAATGGAGGAACTTTACCAGCGCTTTCTAGATGGAGAAGACAGCCACGTGACTCAAGAGGATGACCCTTTCTGGGATCCTGTCGAGGTCATCCACTTGGGCTCAGCTCATGTCTGGCTCCAGTCGCTTGCTTACTGCATGAAGTTCGAGGAGCAAGTGGAGTTTCTCAACTGTGATGGACTGGAGGAGGCAGTATTACACATCCATATGGCCTCTTGCTCCCCAACAGGACAGTGGGTGTCTCCTCCCCTTCCCTAGTTCTGTCTGGGTCAGTCACAGAAAGTTCAGAGCAAGTCCAAGTTCTCCTGAGAGGGTAGTCAACTTGGTACCTGAAAGGGTCATTCATGAGACAAATGAATGAGCTCATGCATTTATGATTTGGCTCATGGAATATGATTTTTGCCATGGAAGCCAAATCAGCTTCCCTAAAATGCCAGCTGCATTTGAGACAACTCAGCACTGCCCTAAGGAACCAAAGGAATGAGGAAGACATCCCATAAAGAGATAGGAGTAGCAGAAGGAAACTTGGACAAAAATCAAGACCTGAGTTGACCCTCATAGGAGAGAAGCCAATGAACTCTCTCCTGGCACCTGTGAGGTCTGGTATCCACCCTACACGGGATGCTTTTCCCATGCTGTAGGCCCAGGCTGCTGGTGATTCCCTAGAGTAAGAGGCAGAGAGGCCATCTTCTAGCTTACCCCTTCTTCTCCGTGATAGAGGCCTATTTCTTTGGTCTTTTTTTTCAAGGTAGGAAGAGAGATTTCTGGCTTTCTGTGATGTTTTCTGAACTTCCATGGGTGTAAGTTTGCTTCAGGCTATCAGTTCTGTTCTAAACTCTGCTATGCTATCTTTTACTGTTCTCTTAGGATATCTCATCTGTCGTTTCTCTTTAGGTCTTAGGCAGTCTATACAAAAGCTGTAGTCAAGTATCCTAATCAAAGAGGCTGGCAGAGGGGCCTGGTATGGATGCCAGTGCCTGCAGAGCACCCAGTGAAATTGCTGAAGAGGAAAATAGCTCAAGAAAGGAGTAAAGGTTCTGTGACTAAGAGTCCAGGCTGACCAACTGGGACTCAAGCAACATTCTGGTCACTTGGCTACCTTGACCTTCTAGGCTGCCTGATGGTTATATTGCAAATCAATAAAGTGGCATTCTAGTTTATAGGTGTCAGACTTTGTGAGCTTGGCTGATGTGAGAGGTCCCTATTAGAAAGCTTTCTGAATCAGTTTCTGACCTTGTAGGTCTGAGATGTACTCAAGACTACAAGGAATTCACCAGTGCCAACTTAGGAGGCTGCAATCTCAGCAGCCAGCTGCCATTCCCCTTCTTCCTACTGGGGACATACTTGAATTTTCAATGAAGTGTAGCACTGACATCTGTGTGCATTCATTGCATGAAGTGGTTCATAATCCCTTCTCTGGGTTTTGAGCTTCTTTTTGCTTTGTTTTGTGATGCTGGAGGATGGAACCCAGAGCTTCATGGTGGGCAAATGCTGAAGCCTTGAGTTATACCCCAGCCCCATGATCTCCATGAAATGGTCCATATCTGACCTTAAAGCATCAGTATAGAGTTGACTCTTAAAAAAATTATTTATGTTATTAGTTTTATTTGGTGCCGAGGATGGAACCCAGTGCCTCATGCATGCTAGGCGAGCATTCTACCACTGAGCCACCATCCCAGCCCTAGAGTTGACTCTTATTAAGTGTCTCTTGAATGAATTCTACAGTTGGTAATAATACTAGCCTTCCTTCAATGAAATTAGCTTTCTCTTTAAGTTTTCTATTTTACTGCCTGAACTTAACAATGCCAACTTGCTTGGACCCTGCTTAACCTGAGATCAATGTCTACCTCTTCTGTTTGTAGAGCACATGGTGAGGAGGACGTGGTTATTGATCCTTGTGAGCTGCTGGGCAAGAGGATGGATTTCCAGATTCACATTGTCCAGTGCCTTGGTGTCAAATGGCTAAAGGAAGATGCAAAGCGGGGCATTCAAATGGGGTACTACCCTGTGCCATAGCTTCTTTCAAAAGCTACCTGCTGTGTGGCTTTTGGAGGAAAGGAGTGTTTCCTCAAGTTTTTTTTTTTTTTTAATATTTACTTTTCAGTTGTTTTTGGACACCATACCTTTATTTTATTTATCTTTATATGGTGCTGTGGATCGAACCCAGGGCCTCGCACATGTTAGGCGAGCACTCCATTGCTGAGCCACAACTCCGGCCCCATTTCCTCAAGTTTTAAAAATGAGTTTAGGGGCTGGGATTGTGGCTCAGCGGTAGAGCGCTCGCCTAGCACGTGGGAGGCCCTGGTTCGATCCTCAGCACCACATAAAAATAAATAAATAAATATATAGCGTCCAGTTACAACCAAAAAATAAATATTAAAAAAAAATGAGTTTATAATGTAATTTTCTTAACTTTCTGTTTGTTCAACTTCAAAATGACTATTTGCCCCTACCTATTAAACAGAGAAGCAAGCCAAATGGGTTGTGGTCATTATGTATTGAACCTTTTATGTAACTGAAATAGTTGAGTCAAAAATTTTATTTATAGAAAAATATCGTTCAAAACTGTATTATTTAAGTAAAATGTTTTTATTGGAAACAAAAGAACTATATTATGGTATGGCAGATGCATCAGATATGGTCAAACTCATTAGGTGAAAAGGATATTAAAAGATAAGGTAATAAAGAGTTACTTTGAAGAACAAAAACCAACCAACCACCCTACATGGGAAATTAGCAATTTTAGAGTCTCTAAGTAGAAAGGATTTATTGAAATCCTTTTTCCTTTTTTATTAGTCACATTGTGATAATACCCATGTAGAACAATTGAGATGTTGGAGGCCGCAATCATGAGCATAGATTATAATTTATCTCTTTATCTAACTCATGCATGGGTTATATGTCTGGGTTCATCTGATTCTTTCCTTTACAAATGTGTTCCTTCTGGATTTAAATTATGTTTTATATTCTTTTTTTCAGGTATAGAATTTATGATCTTCCAAACACTTTATATACTAAACCCATATGGAAAATTGTGAATCCCCAAATTGAAGAGATTGTACAATTTGCAGCCTTAAATGCATCTCAGGAGTTTCTGAATTATTTACAGACAAATGCTCTCATTGTTGATTTGTGGGGCCTTCAAGGTACTTACTCTTTCACATGTGCACTGTTCAATCGGACATAATGTCAGTACACCCAGTGCTGCAGAAGAGGTAGAAAAGGGAGGCAGTCAGGGTCTTTATGGCAGTGGCCAGTGTCATCTTTCCCCGTGGGCCTCTGGGTCCTAGTCCAGCAGGTTTAACATTAACAACACATGATTTAACATTTCACTCAACACTAGGGCTGGACAACTTAGACTTCCTTTCTTTGATGGTGTCTCTACCACACTACAGAAGGCTGTGCTGAACTGAGCTGCTCTCAGCTGGACTTCATGGTCACAGATGAAGGCCACATCATGGTAGATACCAAGAAAATTTCCGATGTGAAGGATACAAGCCAGGTGTGTACATGTGAATTACAATTGGCATCAAGGTGACTAGAAAAATATCAGGTGACAGCCACTTAAGGATCGTCAGTGTTGTTCCTCTTAACAGAACTTTTCCTGGTGTACTTGAGTACCCTTAGTTTAAGGGGCTTATAAATCCTGCTCATCACCTCCCCATTCCATCTGGTTTACCTGAGATAGAAAAAATTGCCAATCTCAAAAGAAATGACGTATCTTTTGTAGATGGCATCAAATCAGACATCGGAACTTTATCTGAAAGTGCTCAAGTTAGAACAGGAGACGGAACTGCTCAGAAACATTAACAGAGCCCTGAGAGAGGAAAACATATTTCTCAAGGAATCACTGGAGAAAACTGATTCTGGTCAACAAGGTGACAAACTGCTCCAGTTGTGGATGTTGAGCTTATCTCCAAAGCTCCAACATTTGAGATGTGTGTTTGGTTTTTTAAGACATGGCCTTTGTTGTTAGGGTGCTAGGGATGGAACTCAGTGTCTCATATGTGATAGGCAAGTATTCTACCACTGAGCTATACCCGCAGACCCTCTCCACTTTTAAATTTTGAGGTAGAATCTCAAAATAAAAAGCTGCTAAGGCTGACTTAAAACTTGTGATCCTCCTCCTGCCTTAGCCTCTTATGTAGCTGGGATTATAGGTGCCCACCACTTTGCCCAGCTAGACACGGACTTTTTCATGTTTTAACTAATATTTTGTATCATAAAAAAAAAACAGGCATTTTGTTTTTCTTTTGCCTTGCGAGATTTCTTTGCATGGGTTCAAACTGGTGCCACAAATATGCTGATAAATGCAGATATAGAAGAATGCCACCAAAATAAATAAGTATAGGTATCTGTAAATGAATAAATACCTTTCTTCTTCCTGAAGCCCATAAGCCTTCCAGTACCCTGAAGATAACTGAGATGACATCACAACTGCCATCAGCCAGAAAGATTAATCAAATGTGCACTCAGCAAGCCAGCTGCGACAAAGAGTTTGCTAAAGCTCTCAAGGTGTTTTATCAAAGCATGAACACAGCAAAACGACAATTTTTCAGACTTTGGCAGTATAAACCTCCTGTAAGTAGCCAGAATCATGGGAACAAAAGAAATCTATTTCCATTAAATTTAGACATTTGCTTTAAATGCATTTCCTGAGCTTGAGGACATGTGTGTTTAAGCAGATGAGAAAGTAGAGGCCTTAAAAGCATGGTCCTCTGCTCTCTCAGGCCTCTATCCACTTTTGCTCAGGGCTTTCTATTTTAGTGCATATCTGGCTGGTTCCAGACAGCTAGGGTCACCGTAGAATTGCTATTCATTCACTTTACAATATATAGAATATCTCAGAAATGCAAGTTTTGTTTATAATTATAAAATCAAATATAACTCATCATATTACAGTAGAAAAACAATCTGATTATTTCAACAGATGGAAAAGCATGTGAAAAAAATTTAGCATCCTATAAAGACAAATATTCTTGTCAAACTCGAGAATAAAATGGACATGCCTCAATTTGATAGAGGCCATCTCAGGTAAAGTGGTAAATTACTGACAGCTTCCCTTTTCAGATCAGGAAGAAGTCAGGGATGCTGGCCATTGCACTTCTGTATTTTAAGTTCCAGCCGGTGCATTAAGGCAAGAAATACAAAGTATAAAGACTAGAAAGAGAAAACAGGATTTGCAATAATAGCACACATTTATATAACGCTTTCTAAGCATTTTACATTTACTGAGTGAATTCTTGTAACCACTACCATTAGCCTTATTTTATAGTTGTGGACCTAAGTCGTAAGAGACGTTATGTAACTTGTTTCAGGATACATATATTGTAAATAGCAGGGCCTCGATGCAAACCCAGCCAGGGCTGCTCCACAGTCTTCTTCTCCCTGCATTATACTGTGCAGCCTCCATTACTATTCCCAGATACCATGCTTGTATAAATAGAAAACCCCACAGAATTTATATATAAATTAACAGAATTACCCAATTGCTGGTTATAAAATCAATATAAAAGTATATTTGAATATATATATTTGTATATATATAATATATACATATATATATTTGATGCCATTTATAATTGTATCAAATATATGAAATACTTAGGCTGATAGCTAACATAAAATATGCAGTACTTCTATGAAAAAAATTTTAAAACTTGTTTGAGAAATGTCAAAGACGACCTGCCAAAACGGAGAAATAGGCTATGTCTCCATGGTTTGGAAATTGCTATTAAGTCTGTAATTCTCCCTAAGATTCAATGTATCCCAAGCAAATGTAATGGAACCTGACAAAATGATCTATAATTTATATGGAATTGCAAATGGAAAGAAAAGCCAAGACAAGATGAAGAGCTGAGAAGGTAGAATGACTTGTCCTGCCTGATAACACCTTATTTTCCAGATAGTGAGGTGTTAGTAAAGTATAGACAACGAAAGAAAAGAACAGAAGGCCCATTCTGTACTAGAGACTAGATATAGACTGAGGTGAAGTTGCAGATGAGTGTGCAGCGTGGACCTTTCCCTAAACAGTGCTTGGAGAACTAGGAATTTAGGTGGTATTATGGTTTGGTTCTGGGTTGTTCCCCAAAGACTCAGATACTAATGGCATGGGTGCCACTGGGAGGTGGTGGAACCCTTAGAAGGTGAGGCTAATAGAAGGAAGTTGGGTTGCTAGGGGAGTGCCTTTGAAGGGGATATTGGGGCTCGGGCCCCTTCCCCTCTCGCTTCTCTTCCCAACCACCATGCGGTGACCAGTTTTCTTCCACATGCTTCTTTTGCCATGATGTACTGTGTCACGACAGGCCCAAAGCAACAGGGCCAAGTGACCATGGATTGAAGCCTCTGAAATCATGAGCCAGAATAAACCTTTCCTCCTTTTAAGCTGTTTATCTTTGACAGACACAGAAAATCAGATGAAGAAAATGAAACTAAATGTAGTTCTAAATCAATTTTAGATGCAAATTAAAGACTCAAATGTGAAAGGCACAACCCTGACTCTTCATAACCTCACAGTGGAAAAGGATTTCTTACTCATGACAAAACCAGCTAGTTTTAAAGAGAGAGACTGAAAAATTGACTAAATCATGAACTCTAGTCCATCAAAAGAGTACCAAAATGAGAGCCAAAAGGTGTGGAAACAGTTATTTGAAACACACTTAATGTGCAATGAACTATATCCAAAATAAAGAACTGCTACAAAACAAAAACAGATCTAGACAACTCGACAGAAAAAAAAATGGTCAAAGGACTTAAACAAGAACTTCACAATTAAGGAAATCAAACATTAATGAATATATAAAAAAGTACTTATGCTGGGCTGGGGCTATAGCTCAGTGGCAGAGCGCTTGCCTAGCATGTGTGAGGCACTGGGTTTGATCCTTAACACCTCATAAAAAACTAAACAAATAAAGGCATGCTGTCCATCTACACTATAATTTTTTTTAAAAAAGTACTTATGCTCATTAATAGATTGGGAAATACTAATTGATAACCATTATAAACTATCCATAAGAGCAAAAGTTAAATATTCTCACATCAAGATTCGGTGCAGATATGAAACAATAGAAAATTGGGCATGGCTGGAGGTGTACAATCACTTAAAAATTACTTGGCATTTACCTAACTAATTAAGTTGAAGATACTAGGCCCAAGAAACCTGTAATTCAACTCTTCCTTTTTCTATGAAAGAAAATGGATCTGTAGAGAAGTAAGCCCTAATTCTTTCAGGCAGAGATTCTGAGTGTGGTCCCCTAATTAGCAGCTTCAGGATCACCTGGAATCTTGTTAAAAATGCAGATTCCAGGGATGGAACTGTAGCTCAGTGGTAGAGCGCCTGCCTTGCATGTGTGAGGCACTAGGTTCGATCCTCAGCACCACATAAAAATAAATAAAGATATTGTGTCCAACTACAACTAAAAAATATATATACATAAACAAATTTTTTTAAAAAAATGCAGATTCCGGTAGCTACCCCAGACCTACTGAATCAGAATCTCTGAGAGTAGGCTTAATGATGTTTGAACACCCCTGCCCTAGTGATTCTGCCTTGAGAACCTACTGCAGTAAGTCATTTGATAGATGTAAGAAATTAATTCTTGTCCATCTAAAGAGGCACCAGTTATATACCCTTCTTGAAAGAATTGAGAGTTACTCAAATGATTTTCTGTTCTGTGGTTCAGACAAGGGCTCAGCTGTGAAATGTTACAGGAAACCTTGCATACGTGTACTGGCTCCTCTTAACAGCATCTTCCGTAATAGTACCAAACCAGACCCATCCCTACTGTATACTCACAGAAAATGGGAAAATTATGGAACTATCTATTCTGCAGAAAATTTGCTGTGAAAATAAATCATAGCCACATACAACAAGGATGAATATCAACCACCAATAAGTGATGGATACCTTTAAGTCACAAAAGATGACATCCAGCATGATTCCATAAATGTCTAAAGACAAGTAAAACATACTGTTTAGGGATGCATTCTACATGGTGGAAGTGTTCAGAAAGGCAAGAAAATCATAAACGATTATCACAAAGATCAGGCTATGGATTGTTTCTGAGGGAAGGGAAGTAAGTGTGAGAGGACTAAAGCAGGCCCTTGCTCGAGGTGTGCTCACTGTAACTCGATGTGCGCACACATTTTGGGTCCTCTTTTGTCTGCAAACCTCCCAATAAAAAAATAAAGAAAAACTGGTTAGATGAAAGATGTCATTCACAAATTTAAAAGTAAGCCTCAGCCTGAGAAAAACAACTTGTATTACAATTTGAATTTTGGAATATTTGTATAGTTTTTACCAATTGAGCACCCTGAATCTGAAAAGTCAAAATCTGAAATGCTTCATAATCCAAATTTCTTAAGTATCAATCCTTGTTTATTTATTTATTAGGGATTAAACCCAGGGATGCTTTACCACTGAGCTACATCCCCTCGCCCTTTTAAATTTTATTTTAGGTCAGTCTCAAAATGAGTTGCTGAGGGGTTCACTAAGTTGCTGAGGCTGGATTTAAACTTGTAATACTCCTGTTTCGGTCTCCCAAGTTGCTGGGATTACAGGCCTGTGCCACCATGCTGGCTAAGCCATATTTATCAAGCATTAGTATTCAGAATATTTAAAAAATTACTTTTAAAATAAGACAAAGACAACACGGAATACTCATTGGGAAAAATGGGCAAATCTGAACAGGTATTTCACTAATCAGTAAAATAAAAAGTAAGAGAAAATGCTGTATTACAGACTGCCCCGTGCATTTCTATGCTCAGTAAGTCCCAATCCCATCTCCTCCATCACTGGTACTTTAGCTCACAGCCAATCTGGAAACCCATTTCAGTAGTACCTGCTTCTATGGAATGGGGGATACATCAGCAAATCCCTACAAGTGGGAGAACCCCTCATGCCCATGACTTCCTTTGTAAAACCTCAGAACTTCCATAGTATTAATATATAGCATTCCAATCTGAAATGTTGGGATTGTCTCATCAGTTTTCCCTATTGGCAGTAACTACAGGGCCATTCAGGTAGTCTTCTCCAAATCAGTTGCTCCCAGTAACTTACTGCCTCTGGAAGCCACTTGAAAATGCAGTTTTCCGGGCCAAAGGGAGAAACTGCTGGGCACCCCAATGAGATGCATACATTTTTTTATTCTAATGATATGAAGTCTACTATCATTTTTTTTCCTTTCACTTATTCTTTAGGAAGATGATCAAATGCTTCGACCATTTGTATACCAACAATCACAGATGTTAAAGGATCTGGGGGATCTGCTTGAATCCAGCTTATGGAAACTGAAAAATGACATTTCTCTTATAGTGAAAAAGAAGAGAGAATACTTATTATATACTAAACAGTGAGGATACAACAACTGAAAACTGCAAAAATTTAAACTTTAGTGGTAAAGATCATTTGTGTAGCTAATGGGCTTAAGCTAACCTGTGTGTTTCCCACTTAACTTACTCTACCATTTTAAAGAAAGACTTCTTTCAATCAGACGTTTTTTAGTACTTGGGATTGAACCCAGGGGCACTTAACTACAGGGCCATATCCTTACTCCTTTTAATTTTTTATTTTGAGAAAGGATCTAAGTTACTTAAGGCCTCTTTAAGTTGCTGAGGCTGCCTTTGAACTTGTGATCTTCCTGTCTCAGCCTTCCGAGATGCTGAAAATATAGGCATGCCCCACCATACTCAGCAACTGGAATTTAAATAATGTAAAAACAAACTCATATGCAGAAAGGAGGTGAAATGGGAGATACCTGAGGTGAATGGTGATACTTACCAGTTACCATTCTGAGGTAATGGAAACTCCTAATAACAATAGTAATGAGGATGGTGAGACTGAATAGTGCTTACCATTTGCCAGGCACTAATCTAAGTACTAAACATCTGTTAGCTCATTTAATTCTCAAAATAATTCTGTGAGTTAGGGTAGACAGTCCTACTGCCAAGAATTTGTCTCCTTTTCTTGGTGGGAATGTAAATTGGTATACCCATTTTTGAAAACAGTATGGAATTTCCTCAGAAAACTAAAAAAGAGAATTACCATATGATCCATCAATTCCACTACTGGCTATGTATCCCAAAGAACTGAAGTCAGTGTGTTGAAGAGCTAGCTATCTGCATGCCCATGTTTTTGTTTTTTTTTTTCCTTTTTTAATATTTTTTTAGTTGTAGTTGGACACAATACCTTAATTCTATTTATTTATTTATTTTTATGTGGTGCTGAGGATCAAACACAGTGCCTCGCACATGCTAGGCGGGCACTCTACCGCTGAGCCACAACCCCAGCCCCGCATGCCCATGTTTAATGCAGCATCATTCATTATAGTAAGAATATGGAAAGAACTGAAATGTTCATCTACCTACTGATGGAGTTTTAAAATGTATCACAGATATACAATGGAATACTATTCGCCCTTAAAGAAATGGGAAATTCTGTCATTTGTGACAACATGGATGAACCTAGGATATTATGTTAAGTGGAATTAGCCAGACATAAACAGATAAAATATGATCTCTTAGGCAGAATCTAAAAAAAACCCCAGAAATGATAGAAGTAGAGTAATATGGTAGCTACCAAAGGCTTAGGGGAAAATGTGGGTAGAGAAAGGGGGACAGACATTGGTCAATGGGTACAAAGTTTGTTAGAAGAATTAAGTCTGACTGTTCTATCCCACAACAAACCAACTATAGTTAATAGTAATGTGTGTTTCAAAATAGCTAAAAGAGAGGTCTTCAAATGTTCTCACCACAAAGAAATGATAACTATTTCAGCTGATGGATATGCTAATTACTGATTTGATGATTTCAGTGTATATCATGTACCCCATAAATATACATAATTGTCAATTAAAAACAAAATAAAAATTTTAAATAAAACTTAAAAATAAAAGAATCTCCCTTTTCAAGTTATACATCCTCTCTTCTTTTGTAAAGACAGCACAGAAGGGTCTCCTAACATGAATAATATTTCTATATATGTTATGCTTCTTAATTAAAAGTAGAAATTCCATAAAGGGGTGGCTGTCTCCATTACATAATAAACAACATGAACTATGTATGTGTTTATTATATGATTATTATTTTTTACTGTCTTTTTTATTGGTGCATTATAATTACATATAATAGTGGAATTCATTATACCTGGTTACATATGCACATAACATAATTTGATCAATCTCATTCCCTAGTACTTTCCCTTCCCTTATGAGATTATTATAAAAAGAAAAATTCTTTGCTTTATTTTAGGGCTTCAATGCAAAACCTAGTTAACATACAAAAAGAAAATTAGAGGAAAGTTCTATTTAAATAGTGAAGATCAGTAGAAACTTACAAATTGTATTCTTAAAACTAATCACAAGTATAGACCAAGGGAAAGAATGAAAAACTCAATTATTGGCAGTAAACAAGTCAGGCCATGTTAAGTAGCACATAGTTATTACTACACAAATAAACTGGCAGGTCCAAATGAAAAAAAACATCATTCAATTGAAAATCCTTTATTATTCAACTTAGGTAAACAGTCCAAAATCAGTGTAGATGGGTGAAAAACTATGCTAAAATAGAAAAAAAGTGCAGTTTAATTTAGCAAAATCTCACACAATATGCAGAGAAACTCACTGGAGGGTGAGATTCCATTCAACACCATAGCAAGCAAGGCAGCAGTTACTGCCCTGGCTGAAAGCCAGCCCCAGCAATCCTCACTAGGAATGCAGTTAGCAACACAGACAAGGACACTTCCTCCACCATCTGACCTGCCAGCACATTCATAAAATTTACCAAGAACATTTCAATGAAAAAGTCAGTCAAATATTAGTTTTCTTTCACAAGCAAGAAAATCATAAATCAGCTGAGATTTGAAAGTTAGAGTAAGCTAGTACAATTTCCTGCCTTTAATGTGTAGGTATTTAGATTTGACAATCTTTTCCATATACAGTCAGATAGGTTTATAGAAGAATTTCAAATATCAAATACAGAAGTTGTTAATCATGCATTTTATGACTTCAGCTAATTCTTCAAATGTTTAGACTTCAGAGCTGCTAATGACACTAAATTCAATACCATGTTGGCCGAGTCTGTCAATCAATTTTGTTTTGGAGAAAGCTGCTCCAGGTGTGAAGACACCGCCCCTGTAAAACAATAACAAGAGAAAACAGTGCACACAGCTGCTTTCCAGCCCTCTGCTCTGTAGGTCTAGGTAGCCAACTATTACACAACTCCTAAAAACTGAGCATTCTCCATTCTATCCTGGCTACTTTTGATTTCATTCCTAAAATCAGCAGACTCAGCAAATAGCTGTTATTCAAGAGAAACTAGTGCCATAGACAATCCTGTGGAGACAGGTTCAGTTCCTGTTCACTGTTTTAATGCTACCTGTGTGCTCATGGAGCGTATGGTAAAGCTTTATCAACCTGAGTAACTGCTGCTATTTATAAAGATGTCTTCAGACCCAAGAGGATTAAATACAGATCTCAATGGAATAAATTTAAATAGTCAATTATTATTAAAACATAAACAGAACTTAAACTAGATAAAGAAGAAGTTTCTTTAAATATAATGGCTAACATTTACAAAGTACCACATATTTTCAAAGGTAACACAGTATTTGAAAAAATTAAGTTTTACTATATACAATATATATAATATATGTATAATATTAAGTAATATACTATATACAATACATATAATAAAAATCAAACCTAATAATTTAATATTGTTTTAGGTTATACCTGATTTACCTCTTAGCTGCAGGTCTATGTTCATTTGTAAAGTTAGCCTAATTGAAGATAAAAGTTAAATGCTCCAGTAAGACAGTACATTTGATAACCATCAGCCAGGATCCATGACTCAATTCACACACCTGGCATCAGTCAGGGCTCCTGCAGCCTACCAGCTGGGTATTGCTCAACACTGATGAGAAGTTCCTATTTACACTATTTAACAAGAGGGACCTTTTCTGAGTGGCTAACTCTGGATTTGAGCTATTTTTATAAGAAACCAAAGCCAACTTACATGGCTCTCACACTTTTCAATCTCCTCTCATTTACCTCTGCAGTTATTCCCAAGACTGGTAAGAAACTGTCCTTTTACTTTAATTAACCTATATCTTTGGATCAAAGGAACTGTAAATGCTTATGTGTAGATCCAAAGCCTGAAAATCGAAGCACAAAATGACTTAAAATATAACACATATTAAAAAGATATCTTCTAACTAGAAGAAAACCAAACTTACGCCTTAGGAAGATCAGAGACATCGTTTAGAAGAGTCATGGCTGCCTGAACCATGGCTATGGGGGTAGTCACATAGCCAGCCTCTGCAGAAAAGGTTGATCAAAGGGGAAAAAAAGTGTTCATGAAGTCTGCATTAAACAACACCCAAATATCAAATGGTAGATTTTCTGTCTCTCTCTAGGTATACAGATTTTTTTTTGAAAAGATACTCTAAACACTTATAACAAAAATAACAACTTTTACTGTACAGGTTGGGGATCCCTTATTCAAAATGCTTGGGACTTTTGTGTTTTAGATTTTATAGTTTTTCAGATTTTAGAATATTTGCTTATACATAATGAGCTATCTTGGAGACGGGACCATGTACAACCACAAAATATAAATATAACCTGAAGGTAATTTTAAACAACATTTTTAGCACACCTGCATTTTGATCACAACCCATCACATGAAGTCAGGTGTGGAATTTTCCACTTCTGGTGTCATGCTAGTACTCAAAAAGTTATGAATTTTGTATCATTTAAAATTTCAGATTTTCAGGTTAGGAAATTTCAACCTGTATTTATTTTTTATATTTTGGCAGTTTTGGGGATTGAACCCAGGAGTACTCTACCACTGAGCTATATTATCTACCCTTCAATTTTTTGTTTGTTTGTTTTAGTTAGACACAATACCTTTATTTTAATGTGGTGCTGAGGATCGAACCCAGGGCCTCCCACGTGCTAGACGAGTGCTCTACCGCTGAGCCACAACCCCAGCCCTATCCTTCAATTTTTAACATTTTGAGACAAGGTCTTACTCAGTTGTTGAGACTGGCCTCAAATTTGTAACCCTCCTGCCTCAGCCTCCTGAGTAACTGGGATTACAGGCTCAATCTATTTTATTAAACATATTAAATGTTACAAAGTATATGTATTAATTGCTTTAAATCTACTAAACTCAATTTTCACAACAGTGATACTATTTTTGTTTGTTTGTGTGTGTGTGATGCTGGGGATTAAACCCAAGGCCTCACCCATGCCAGGCAAATGCTCTACCACTGGGATTAGTACTATTTTTATCCCCATTTTACAGATTAAGAAATTGAGGCTTGGTCACTTAACCTTTTCCAAACTCACAAAGTTAGGCAATGGCTAAGCCAGAAACACACCCAGGCAGCTAGTTCACTCTTGTCCATTACAATATACTGCTTCTTGATAATCATTGAAATCATGATCCTAGGTTGTTGTTGTTGTTTTAATATTTGTTTTTAGTTGTAGGTAGACACAATAACCTTTATTTTATTTTTATATAGTGCTGAGGATTGAACCCAGTGCCTCACGCACTCTAGGCAAGTGCTCTACCACTGAGATACAACCCCAGCCCCGCTCGGTGGTTTTTTATTCACTCTATTAATATATCAAACTGATACCCATCTGCATTCACATACTTCACTAACAAAAACAAAACAAAAAAACCCTCTCAATATCTTAAGGAAAAACAACTGGCTACACCTATATTACTTTAAAAAAAGTCTACAAGCAAGTGGGACATTAGTATTTACATTTCTGTCAAAAAATAAAAACACAGCTAACTTTAAAGCCAGGTGGGAATTTGAAAAGGGGGTAAAATACAAACACATTGATGTCTGGCTTAATTAAAATCCCCTGTGATCCATCAGGGACCACGGTAATTACAAATTATCCCTATTAAACTTATAATTCATAAGTAGGACATCTCTGTATAGTACTCTAAAATTTATAGTAAAAGTTTTTTGGGGAGAAATAGATCCTAACCCTCCTTTGAAAAATGCACATGTTTTCCAGACAATATCTGGGTGTTCAAAGACTCCCCAAACACCTGGGATCACAGATTTGGCTCATGTTAGACTGCTTAAGCATGAGGTTAAAACATGTAAAAAATGAAGTAGCACCTTTTCTTGTTACTAATTTAAATCTGCTATTCTGAATTATTAAATGGTTAATGAGAAAAAAAACAGAGGGAAGGATGCACTAATAAAATTGGCTTATACTAATAATTTCAATCCTTCCATTGACAGAATAATTTTAAATTACTTAAATATTTTGTGCAAACAACTAAGCTCTAAATAAAGAAAAGATAAGCTGGGTGTGGTGGTGCCTATAATCCCAGTGCTTGGGAGGCTGAAGCAGGAGGATCGCAAGTTCAAAGCCAGCCTCAGCAAAGGTGAGGTGCTAAGCAACTCAGTGAGACCCTGTCTCTAGATAAAACAGAAAATAGGGCCAGGGATGTGGGTCAGTGGTTGAGGGCCCCTGAGTTCAATCCTCAGTACCCAAAAAGAAAATTAAGAAAGAAAGGATAGATTGTAATGACATATCACTTTATAGATTATATCACAATGTAAAACTCCCAAGCATTCTTAAGTCATATGTGAAATACCTGGTCCTTTCACCTGAGTACAAATTCTGATATTTGGTTTGAGCTTATCAGTAGAAAGGCCTTGTTTGTATCCTTGACCAAAGAATGTCAATGTAAATGATGAGCCATCCATCTGTAAGAGAAAGCAAAAGGTTCATTTAATAAATATGTCATTTCCTTCTGGAACACAATAAAACTTATTTCTACTTCAGGTGATAAATAGATAAAAAAAACCAATATTTTGTCTACCACAACATCTTGTCATCATTTAAGCATGGGCAAACGTGAATTCTTTGAAGTTATAAGTTTTGGTGACTGGTGTGAAGTGGGGTGGGAGAGATGATGAGTAATAGGGATGAGATGAAGATGATGCTTAGGTTGTAGCTTAAAGAATGAGTGCACCATCAATATAGGCAGTTTAAGAGGAAAAGCTAGAAGAGGCCTGGGGAACAGACATACAATTACATCACTCGCAGATATAAAAATTAAATTCAAAAAATTAAATTTAGAGCATTTATCCTATCATTTTTTATAATCACTAAATTTAGAAATAGGGTATCAAAGAATGCAGCCCATCAAAATGATTTTTATTAAACATCAATTAAAGGTCAGATACTATATATATATATTAGGCCCTATGATATAAATAAACTATTTCTTTCCTGGAATTTACAATTCATTGAGGAAAGAGATAGATAAGCAAATTTTTAAAATATATGTTTTTTAGTTGTCAACGGACCTTTATTTGTTTATTTATTTGTTTATTTATATGTGGTCTGAGAATCAAACCCAGTGCTCACATATGCCAAGCAAATGCTCTACCACTGAGCCACAACCCCAGCACTTAAGCAAATTTAATAACAATATGATGGGGCTAGAGATGTGGCTCAGGTAGTAGCGCGCTCGCCTGGCATGTGTGCAGCCCAGGTTCGATCCTCAGCACCACATACAAACAAAGATGTTGTGTCCCTACTGAAAACTAAAAAATAAATGTTAAAAATTCTCTCTCTCTCTAAAAAAAAAATAATAACAATATGAGACATGAACTAATAAATGAAGGAAAAGCTCAAAGCAGGGCATTATTAAATCTCCTGTGGCTGAGGGCAGAGTTTTAAAATGTATGCACACACATATTTTAATAGAAGTTTATTAAACAAAAAAGTAAGGTACATTCCAGAATGGAGCAACCATTATTTAAAGACAAGAAGGGATGTAGTAGCATGGTATATCTAGAATCTACAATTCAAGAGGTACAGACAAGGTCAGATATACAATGCACACTTGTCCCCTCCCCTGCTATGGCATAGTGCTGTGATCATAACCCTCTTACAGGCTAGGCACACATTCAGCTTTAGAACAATTTTCAACATAGTCTTTGAGCTAGTACTCCAATTAATCAGAGATGGATAAAAAAATAAAACTGATCTGCCATCTAGAACTAGATCATAATGTGTCTAGGGTGGCCTCACACCTCTGGAGATGGAATTCCTATCAGTCATGCTCTAGGGGTATGTATCAAAATTATTCAACCTGACCAGGAGCATACCTCTACAGCAGTGATTCTCAACCTTGGCAGCACATTAGCATCACTGGGAAGCTTTTAAAAACTCCAGTGCCCAGACTACATTCCAGACCATGAACCAGAATCTCTGATCATCATTTTTGTCTTTCCCAGAGTCGGGAACCACTGCTTTATATTTTCAGGCCACAGTCTAGCTCTACTAAATCAGAACGTGAATCAGGGCATATGTATTTTTGGGGAAAAAAAATCCCACAACATCCTTGAGTGATTCTGACAAATAGAATCCCAGTAAAGAATCACTGCAAAGGTAGTTAGGGAAGTCTTTTTGTTTCTTGGTTTTTGTTTTTTTTTTTAAGACAATAACAAGAAACAAAATAACAGAGTCAGATTTTCTGTCTTAGAAAGACCTATTAGAGGAGAAGGAAGATGGCGGCGAGGGGAGTGCATTGCCCCCGTGTGCTGCTTCACTGTGTGGGAGTATGACAAGTCAGGATGGCTAAAGGATATCTTGTTAGGAATTTCCAGCAATAGTGGGGTGCTCCGGAACCTGAAGGAAGGATTTCCATCGCACGAGGATCGGCTACGGGGACTCAAACGCGAGAGGTTTGTCGCACGGAGGGTAACACTGCTTATTCAGCAAATCGCCCCGCGGCTAGAGTCTGCAGCGCGCGCTGGGAAACGAGGAGATAGCGACGCAGGGATACAGCGCTGCAGTTTCTGCCAGCCGTGCAAGCACCGTACTCAGGGCTGAATTCTGGGTTCGAGACGGGGGAAGGAAGCGGTCCATTTCGGTTCTCCACACCAGTCAGACCACAGAGGAGGCCAGCAGCCACCATGTTGGAAAGCTGACGTCACCATACCTGTTTTCGACTGACTGCAGCTCATTCAGCCATAGAACAGGTAATTTCAGGCTGCAATTCGCCTGCGGCTTGCAGACAGATTGCTAGGGTTCAGTGCCTGGGTGCTTCTTAGAACCTGATCTTATCGGAGCGAACACCGAGCGCGGGGCGGCTGAGTTCCGGCTCCCGGAACCGTCCCGGAACCGCCCTGGCCCAGGGCTGCGGAGCCTGCGGAGGCTGCTTCTTGGACCCTGCTCCTATCAGAGCATACACCAAGCACTAAGCGGCCGAATTCCGGCTCCCGGAACTGAGCCCGCGGGGACTGCTTCTTGGAGCCTACACTTATAGGAGCTTACACCGAGCACGAGCGGCCGAGTTCCGGCTCCCGGAACTTCCCTGGCCCGGGGCTAGGAGCCCGCGGAAACTGCTTCTCGGTCCGGGTCCTGCTGAGGGCCGGTCAGGACTCACCCGTTGCTTTGGTTGCCCGGCAAGGGGAACGAAATGCTGCCATTCGCATAGGATACCAACATGGCAGAGATCTGATGTCATCAGAAAGCGGCGGAGGAGAGAACTTCACCAATACCAGCGGCAACATAAACAGTTGGTCTCCTGGTAGGGGGGGTGAGGCACAGACACCCGAGTCTCCTCAATTTGTCGTCGAGCCAGAGGAGAGGAGACGGGCCGCCGCCAGCGCCCGGAGCAGGCCCAGCGGCTCGCCAGCAAGGTGACCGCGTGACCCCAATTGGAGAGGGGGCGGAGCGGAGCCACCACCCGCACCCAAAAGGTGGGCAGACCCGCGACCCAGTGGTACACGGGCGTGGTAGGAGGGGCAGGGCAGAGCCGCCGTTCGCGCTTGCAAGGTAAACAGACCTGTGACAGCCTGGCGGGTCAGGCCCAGTGGCCTGCCAGTGTGGTACACACGTCACCCCAACTTGAGTAGGGGCAGAGCAGATCCTTCTCCCACGCCCGGATCAGGCCCTGCCGGTGTGGTGGTCACGTGACCCCAATTGGAGTGGGGGCGGAGCGGAACCGCCACCCATGCCCGTAGGGTGAGCAGACCTGTGACCAACCTGCAGATCAGGCCCAGGGGTCCGCAGGCGTGGTAGGAGGGGCAGGGCAGATCCGCCGCCCGCGCCTCCAAGGTAGGCAGACCTGCAACAGACCGGCAGATCAGGCCCAAGAGCCTGCCGGCGTGGTACACACACCACCCTAATTGGAGTAGGGGCAGAGCAGAGTCGCCGCCCGTGCCAGGAACAGGCCCAGCGTCCTGCAGGCGGGGTAGTCACGACACCCCAATTGGAGTAGGGGCAGAGCAGAGCCTCCACCTGTGCCCAAAAGGTGGGCAGATCTGCGACCGACCAGCGGGACAGGCCCAGTGACCTGCCGGCATGGTAGCCACGACACCCCAATTGGAATAAGGAGAGAGCAGAGCCGCCGCCCGCACCTGCAGGAAAGATACGCAAGCAGTATGAAAAGACAAGGAAAGAAAGGACCACAAGCAATGCAGGTCAACGCAACTTTAGAAGAGGTAACAGCTGCAGCAGATGGAATGTCAGATAAAGAATTCAGGATATACATGCTTCAGATGATCTGGAGTATCAAGGAAGACATTAAACAGCAAAATCAGACAATGAAAGATCACCTCGACAATGAATTACGCAAACAAATCCAGGAAGCAAAGGATCAACTATACAGGGAGATAGAGGTTATAAAAAACAAACAAACAGAAATCCTAGAAATGCAGGAAGCAATAAACCAACTTAAAAACTCAATGGAGAATACTACCAGCAGAGTAGAACACTTAGAAGATAGAACATCAGACAATGAAGGCAAAGTATTTCAACTGGAAAAGAACATAGACAGCTCAGCAAGACTGTTAAGAAACCATGAGCAGAACATCCAAGAAATATGGGATAACATCAAGAGACCAAACTTAAGAGTCATTGGGATACAGGAAGGTACAGAGCTCCAAACCAAAGGAATGAGCAGTCTATTCAATGAAATAATACGAGAAAACTTCCCAGACTTGAAGAATGAGACAGAATCCCAAATCCTAGAAGCCTACAGGACGCCGAATGTGCAAAATCATAAGAGATCCACACCTAGACACATTATAATGAAGATGCCCAACATACAGAATAAGGAGAGAATTTTAAAAGCTACAAGAGAAAGGAAGCAGATTACATTTAGGGGTAAGCCAATCAGGATAACAGCTGATCTTTCAACACAGACTCTGAAAGCTAGAAGATCCTGGAATAACATATTTCAAACACTGAAAGAAAATGGGTTCCAACCAAGAATTGTGTATCCAGCGAAATTAAGCTTCAGGATGGAAGATGAAATTAAAACCTTCCACGATAAACAAAAGTTTAAAGAATTCGCAGCTAGAAAACCATCTCTTCAAAACATCCTCGCCAAAGCATTACAGGAAGAGGAAATGGAAAATAACAATAAAAACCAACAGTGGGAGGTAGGACAGTAAAGGGGGGGAAATAATCAAAGAGGAAAACAAACCATGTTTAGTAACATAAATAAACAAATGTGGCTGGAAGAACAACCCATATCTCAATAATAACCCTAAATGTTAATGGCTTAAACTCACCAATTAAGAGACACAGGCTAGTAGAATGGATCACAAAACAAGACCCAACAATATGCTGCCTACAGGAGACGCATTTGATAGGAAAAGATATACATAGGCTGAAGGTGAAAGGTTGGGAAAAATCATATCACTCATATGGACTTCGGAAACAAGCAGGAGTGTCCATACTC